ACCTACGAACCGTTAGAACGATCCTGCAATAGTGTGTGTGGAGTCCTGTAAATTTCTTCGCCCATGCTACCTGTGTACGCGTAAATATGTTCTGTTTCATTTTTCAACTGGGCAAAAATAACTTTTATCGGCTTATACGCGAATTATATTAAATAACTAATTTTTAATTTATTTTATCTAAGGCCTGACGATTTAAATGATTTGCAGCAGCCTCGGTGATCACGGGGAACCCGATGTCTACAGTTAAATTAAATTAAAAATAAGGTAATAAACACATTTTAAGCAGGGTAAAATGTTATATTACAATGTGTACTACTTGCGCAAAACGGGGAATACGTATAAAAATATAATTACAAAAGATCAACCGCATACAAAATACATTTATAGCTAATCGAAATAATTTATCGTGATTCTCAAGGTTCAAACTCGGTACCTCTCGCGCCAACCTCAAATGAATAAAGCGCAAGGCGTTACCAACTAAGCCACGGTGTCGGTGATATACTAGTGTTTTATGCAATTCAATCTTCCTATTATTAATGAATGTTTATTTAGAGTTCCGTAAAATAAATTAGCAATAGGGAGCCTATTATTATAGCTAATATATCACTATCTATCTCTGTCTATCACCAGGTGCATCTAAAGAACTGCACTGCTAAAATACAACAGGTACTAAAGAAATTTTTTGAGAAGGACATTCCAAAGGTTTTTTTATATTCTTTCGTTCGATATCAATAATGGGTAACTAGGTTGGTCTAAAATAATTTAAAAAAGATAACGAAATTCGTGCAGCTACTATTGTTTAATTAGTTTATTAATGGTACGGAACCCTTCGTGTACTAGAACTGTTCGCGCCTAGCCGGTGTTTTAAACTAACCATTTGTTAATTAAGTTCAGTAAATAAAAAACAAGCGCCATGGGCGTCACTTACCAAGTGTGCCGGCGCAATCTGTAAAAATCATTAATTTTCGCTACCGTCGTTGAATTGGCCCAATGAATGAGCTGTTTTGCATAAAAGCCTTCCAGCTATTTACAATAATCGACGATGTGTCTTTACATTTTCAATTTATTGATATTCATTTTAGGTCGGACGATTTATAAGTATTGGACGAAGGCTCCTGTTTATTTTTAGCCGCGAAACGATGACGTGATCATGTACCTATATGATATTCACTTCGCGTTTTAAACCGTTAAACAATGGTTAAACACAGACACCGTGACAGACAGAATACCGTGTTTGATCCTTTGAACTATAGGTACACTGTTAGATTTTTAAAACTATTACGTAAAACGGTTATGGTTAATATTTTTTTAAGGCGAGAATTATTTAAATCTTGCCTCGTTGAATTTTTACCATATAACCTACCCGCGGCATAAAACTAATAGATTAACTCGTTAATTACGTAATATCGAAACAGTAGGTATTTCAAGCTAAGGATATAATTATTAGTATAACCCGACCGTATCAGTCTCTCTAACTCAAATATTCACCAATTATATTTAATCCATTTATTATGCCACCACGCGATTAGAATCCAAGACTTTTCTTACTGTACGCAAAGCTGAGCATCGTGCTAACACCGCTAGAGTGCCGAAATCATTAACCCTTTCATTCCGCCGTGGTCGGTTAAAATGGGTCCTTATTGTTTCCGTCGCGTGTGGTTTTTTTGGTGTCCGAAAGTACAAAGTGAACCTCTAGAAGGCAATGACTCGAGAGCGCGTCGCGTTGTTGACAGAGGATTGGAAACATTTTTTCACTTGGCAGAACGATAAGTGCATTTGCTTGTCGCAACACGGCTGCGCCGCGGCGCGGCGATCGCCTCGGGCCCGCCTCAATGGGCGCGAGTTCTTTATTTATATACGCCCTTCTGTAATTAACGATAGTAAAAAGAAATGCATATATCTCTGATTTATACCATATCGTGCGTTTTACTCGTTTTTCGGAGGAAACGAATTCGTTATCTCCTTTTGTTTGGCTTCAGTTTAATTTTAGATATTCATTTGTTTAAAGGTTGTAATGATTGATAATTAAAAACGCCCCCCTGCCCGCTCGTCGTTTTAATCGAACGAAATCAATTATGCGCTTATTCGTCGATGTAACTTTCGTATTCGGTAATTAAAATGTAGAAACATTCGAATTTAGAACCGCCAATGTCGACGTATTCGTCTTCGCGTTCTTAGAAGCGCATTTGACACGGGCGCATCGTGGATTCTATCGTTTGCGTAGTGGATGTTATGACAGCTAAATAGATTCACACCCACGCGGAACGGAGCGCTGATGTATGCCTGTATCAAAACTGAAATTAGTCCCGATGATACATAGCGCGGCAGAGTCGTGAAACGTTCGAATTATAAAAACGCTCGATTAACACCCAGCGAAACGGATTAGCCGCACTAAAACGATAATGCTAATGAAAACAAATCGAACAGCGAAGAACGGAACGAAAATTGAACGTACCGTTGATGAAATAAGAGAATTTAGGAGTAGAGCGTGAGGAATGAGACATCGACACAAGAGTGCAGAGGCGTTCGAGCAGCTGACACCTGTCATCGCGCAATTTATTAGCCGCTCCGAAATAACAGAGTCACTGAACGTTCAAACAAAATGAAGAGACACAACGCTCTATTAACGACACGTCCACGGGGTGAACCACTAACAGGCGCGCAATTAAATTCTCAACGTTATACGGCCGTGGGTGAAAAAATTCCGCGCGCGTCGCGAGATCTAAATTAGCGGGTTCGATATCTAGGCGTAATCGGGTTTCGTCGTATCTACTCGTAGTTTTGTGTGGCAGTAATGCGTTCTTATTTGTCAACGTAGTGACACACGAGACAGTATCGTCTCGTTTCGGTTCGATGCAGTGCTCTACCGCTTAATAACTGTCGACGAGTGTTTGCGTCACCGCTTGCATCGCCCATAATAAATCACGGTCTTATTTTAGAAATTCTCATTCACCATTTTCATATCCGCACCAAAATATCATTTACAAGCCCGACACACATTACTCGTAATGACATGCGGTGACTAATTATTATTTACCGTTTTGCGGCTCTGTGATTGAGATTAATTGTGCGATGTTTTTTTGCGCTGTTTCGCCTGAGAAATCGAGTAATGAAGTGTCATAAACGATTATCATTTAGGCTGGCGATACACGTGTTTAATGGCCTCTTGATAGATGGGACACGGGTCAAAAATTAGGTTACAAGTGTTTCCAACGCGATAATGCGACAGAAAAATACAAGTTTCCGTTGCTTCCTAAATTATGTGTATTTTCTGTTTTTCTCTCTTCTTTCGGTAGCGGATTGATTGACATTAATTTTGCGAAAACGTTATGTTTTTAACATGATTATAATAGGGGACGTTTAATTAACCACTTTAACGGTTTAAAATGCGATGTATAAAAACTTTTTTGGAAATTATTTTAACTACTGGCAGCCGTGGTTACGGCTGCTGCAAACCAAATTTGTTCCAAATAAGTTTAAGAAATAAACATCGCGTTTTAAAACCGTTAGTGTTTTGTTTAAATGTGTACTACTCGCGTAAACTACAGTCAGTATTGTGGACGTTGCTTTTAAGAACTAATAATACAATTAAAAACGTTGCAGATTCTAGCTAGCCCGAATGGCTAAAAATTGCGGGCAGCAATTGCAACACAGATGTGCACTTATCATTTGATTATTTAGATTTAGTTATTTAAAAATACTGCAAAATACTAATATATTAAATGAGAGCGAAAGTTAAAAAAGGTACAGGTTGTTCTTTTATTGTCGGGCTCGGGTCTAATGGTAGTAATGTATGGCTAATAATCAACTGGTCGTGGTTTCGGTACCCACTGGGTCCAACATCTTTGAATCTAATAGATTAAATTTTAAAAATCAAAAAAAAGACTCGGGGCAGGACAGCGTCACGTGTTGTTGCTCTACCAATTGAGCTACCGAGTCATTTGGTATAGCAACAGCACGGAACGCTGACGATGCCGATTCAAGTCCTGCCCGAGTCGAAAATATTTTCAATTTATTTTCGATTTTTAAATTATATAGTGCCTCCATATGCAATAACATGTAAAAAATTATAAAGTTTTCAAATATTTAAAGATTTTCGAAAACAATTTGGACTTCGTCTAGAAATTTCAATATTAAATAGGCGATAAGAATATTGAAATTTCGTTCAAGTCACGAACCACAGTTTAAGGGCGTTTCGGCTTCAGTCTGTAGATTTCCGAATATCCAAAGTCAGAATAGGTCAATATCGCATGCAGTTTAGATGTTATATGGCTCTCTATTATAAAAAAGTTTCGATAAAAGTATATATATACTAATATATGCCAAAATAAAATTAACAAAAAGCTGTATACGCGACTGTTGAATTTTAATATTTCCGATCGTATCCAAAACGAACGTCGAACGTCCGATGTATCGTACATTATTTATTGATCGTACGTGAATTATCGTCGAGCTCGGCGCTCATCTTCGTACACCCCTTGATTCGATATTAAGGCTATTACTGAAGATACCGACCGCTGAGGTAGCTGTTCAAGTACCCACGTTATTAGCTCTAAAACATATTTTCCATATAATGCGTCCGATGATTATAGTTATATTAAAACCTCTAAACGTTTAGGCCATGGGAACTCTACGTAGCGTTAATTTTTATAACAGACGTGTACAGGCGTATGGGGTTTATTTTGTACCGCAGTTATATAGCACTAGTTGACTTGGAAAACGTTAGTTTTTCATATAAAGTAATTCGACTAAAATAAATTACCAAAAAAGCGGTACTTGTGAGTTAATCTTAAAACATAGACATTTTTTAATTTCTTGAATTGTTTTCGCAGCTTACGCAACGAAATCTCTCAATGTTCTCCTTATTTCTTTTTATTTTTCTCACTGTTTCTTTGCTCCTATTGGTCGCTTCGTTATTAAAACTCTTCAGCTTTATAATATTAGTATGTACAGATTAAATATCTGTTCATGTCACTTAAGTCTATTTTCTTTTGTTACAGGATCCCTTCACGGTATGGCGATATATACGATATTACTTTTCACAATAAGTTCCACACGTAGGTATAATTTATTTATTTGTTTTTTCATGTCTGCTGGCGATTTCTTCATCGGGTGAAAAAGGGCGTAAGTGTTTTTTTTATAGTTATTATATAGCCAGGTTTCAAGTTGGTCCATATTTTAATTAAAGATATTACCTAAAAGTTGCACATTAATTTAATTTTTTATTTATTAATAATTTTTGAAAGCTTTTAAGACTGAATCTAATTGTTCTTACACGAAATTGGTGCAATCGTAAATTGTTTAATTTATTCACTATGTCAAAATTTAGTATCAATAAAAGGATAGTTTATTTTAAGTGGGCCTGTGTAAATCGGTGGCTTAAAAGGATTATTTTTTTCTTTACATTTTATTGCAAAAAGTGAAACGATTTCGAAAATATAAAATTTTAATGAAAGGCAAGGAGAAATCCATTAGCGTGTTCTAAAGGTTTTTGGACTACCTTCATTGAATAAAATAATAAGAAATAGTAACTATTAATAATTATGTCGTCTGTAAAATTAAAAACTTTACTTTGATATCGGGTCTGCGCTTAAGTATACACAAATACAAACAAGACACATGTAATAAAGAGAAACCGTGAAAGTGTTTTATTAAAAAAATAATTATCTTTCTCATAGATTTATCTAATAGACATCTTACAGACTTTGTCTATAAGGCACATATATTAAAATATCAATTATCAGTCAATTAGTATTTCTTAGTTGATTTGTAACGACCGAGGGATAATAATGTATGTCAATAGATGACACTTTTGTATTTGTATACATACGTTACACTACGGACGCATACATTCGAAAGCAAATATTCTACATAAAATTAGACGACACGTCGTTTAAACGTACTTAAGTTTTAATCCTATACACCGTAAGGAGGCCCACATCGCATCAGTAGGCACCATTAAGAGCCGATGACATACTCTGATTGATGTCCCAATCAATCCGTGCACGGGAATCAGGTGGTATTTGTCATTGTCTTGACGAATCGTAATCCTGGTATCATTCAAATGGTATGGCTAATTCGGTGCGTATATCAACGTCGTACGTCACTATCCATAATTACAAGTAGACAAGACGATAATTAGTGCAGCCGAAGACGCATCGTTCCGCGGATCTTAATTGACGTACATGCAAACGCAATCAATACGATACCGCAACGGATGTCACTCACACCGTTATAAGGGCTGCTCGATGGTCGTCATTGTTGAGCCGGAGTAATGCTGTTACTCGATTACACACACGTGTAATTACACCTGTACGATCAAAACTAGAGACAATGTTGGGTCTATTGCAGATATTACTTTTTTTCTCAACTTTTCTGATTTCAATCCGTACCGTAGTTGATGGAATTTGATAGTTTCGTTTGTTTTCAATACTCTAATCATTTTCTTAGTACAATATTTACATATAGAAACTCCTTAAAAAGCCTACTCATTTAAGAAGGATTTAAAAAAATATTTATATTTAGGAACTCTTTATTTTTTGAACAACTATACTTTTTTTGGGTCTGGTCTCCTATGAGCCTTACCCAAAATTACGATTTTATATACGGTTTATTTTTTATTTTACATTAAATGTTTCCGGACTCCGGTAATCGAAATTCTCTTTTACTATCGCTAGACATAAAAGCCATTTGCGAGATTATAGACATGTAATTGGTAACGTTAGTCTCTAAAAGTAGATTTAAGTTATGAATTTTCTGATTATTTAAATCGAAATTCCGTCATCTTTCTTTATTTCAAGTTATATGCGCCGTTGCCCTATGTAATTTGACAAATATATAGGAGGTGTGTCACCGGCTTAGTCCGCGTAGAATAGTATTTTTGGGCATATACAATTTTTTTTTGCAAACCTCCACATCTTTATAAATTATTGCTGTTACTCACGATGTCGTCTTAATCTTTAAAAACAATGTTGATATCTTGAACTGTTTTCATAGAGGTACACAACGGAAACCAACATGGATGATTAATTTTCCCCATTTCCATTTTCATATTTCCCGCTGTTTCAATTTCGAACCAGTAGTTTCTGAAATCAGCGCGTTCAAACAAACAAGCAAACTCTTCAGCTGTATGTATTAGTATAGATATATAGTATTTTAACTTTAAGCGAACCACATCCTTATCTATCTCCACTGACATAAATAAAGGAACGCATTGTGTAATATCAAGTGCGGAATGGCGGAGTGCCACAAGTAAAGTGATTTTCGTTAATGACTGTCCACCACATCAAGTGTACTGTACAACATCCGGTTGTAGAACACAATATTGCTTTTTACGAGGCTAAAATAAAATGACCTATAACAATTTACACTTTAGAGTGGTCGGAAGTCGAATAGTTTTATTGACCCTAGAGCCGGTCCGTGTGTTTGTGAATTCGTCTAAACTATTCATAAAGTTATGCTCTGTGGGGTCCGCAACGCTAACTATCGATTATTGTGTAAAGTGACAGACCAGCCACTGTGTTTCATATGCATTGTATACTTTTGACGTGTGAGGTGTGCCCCCCCCCCCCACCGCACTAGATCAGCGTGACTTTTGGGACATTAATGAAATAAAACAATTGTCAACTCTTATATAAAGACAGACTGCTTCTGTTACGCGTACTTTTCTAACTTAATCTATTTAAAGACAGACTGCTCGTGTAACGCGTTACGTAATGCAGCAGTTTCATTAGAAAAATACTAGTTTTTATATGAACATAGGTGAACATTATTTAGAAGTCTTTTTTTCATTCACATATTTTATAATTTTTAATACTCAAAGCTTTTCAACTGTTAATTAGTAAAAAAGTTCTTACATTACGTGTTACATTTCATAGCTCAGTGTTGTAACAATGTCGCGCGTTAATAATTCACAATTAGTCCCAACATAATATCGATTCAGCTCAACGCGTAAGTCTAAAGTCACGGGGAGATTTATACGAAATTATAAAGCTTTGCTTTGTTCAAGAACCAAGTAATCCTGTTTTAAATTTATTAGCGTTAGCGGACGATAAATTAGTAAATTCGGTTGCCGTCCTACACGGAAACGTCGGCCTAAGAATTCGAGGCGGGATATTAAGGATTTATATAAAGGAACTAGAATGTTAAGCACTCATTAATTCGGTTCTTACAGTTAAGACACATTAAACAAAAAATACGATTAAGTTTTGTAGTAAAAAAAAACTAAACAGAAAATTCTAAATATAAAAAAATTCAAGCGCTTTATTTAAATAATAAAGCGCTCATTTTTAATTTCATTTAACTACGTTAAGCTTCGCGTTTTAAACCGTTGAACAAACCCGCGTAAACAACAGCCAAGTCTTAGTTAGTAAATTGATTTTTAACTATCGACAATTTATGTTTTGCACCAAATATGGTCATTGAAGGACTAAAGAGGGAGGGCGTCTTTGATGTTAGAAATACTTGTTGTAATTGAGCAGATTTATAAATAACAAAATTAAGTGAACTTGTAAATATCGATTTTTAAGCCGTCAAAAATGTTTTAATTAAACCTGTACTATATATATTGTCCGGATTTTCGTGTCAGCCTATACGGAAATCCACAAAAATAAGTAAAATTGCACACTAAAGCAAAGACCCGACATTTATTGTTTGCTAATACAAGTCCAATATCAATTCCTTTCAATGTAGACGAAATAAATATTAACCGTAACTAACAGGTGGATCTATCAAGGACGGAAATAATTCAAGCCTACATTAAAATATGTCAGTTAAAACAAACAGGTTTAAAATAAATGTATATATATAATATTTGTTGTAATAATTTTTATTTTGTGTGTTTTTACATGTGCCGCTGTCTATCCCTGCCTCAACAGTACGTAAGTATAATTACTACTAAATTATGTTTAACACACAACCCCCTTGTCTACATAAAGTCCGTTGCCATACTAATTAGTATACATACATTACAAAGTGCCCATGCATAAATCTACCTTGTAATCTTTATGATTCCATCATTTTTGTTTAATTATAAATTGTTATATCAACATCTGTGATCTTGGATAGACCGCGAATGTGTTATTGAAATTTTATTACCGAGATTAGGCGTAGTTTCAAAGTGAACAATGTGTTAATTAAAAACTTAATAAAATATTAGTTTTTGTTATAATGAACTCTGGGTTCATTCAATTGTTTATAGTCGAAAGACTACGTTTTTTGGACATAAGTAGGTACTTTTCATAACATTTTGCCAAATGAATGAATCTAGTGAATGGCGTTACTATGCATTTTAGTAGCTATAGTTTCTTTTAGATAAGATTAGTCTTATCTAAATAGTTACGCTAAGATCTTTAAACTACCTTTACTACTAAAAAAATATTGCTACTTATTAAAAAAAAACATATAAAAACACCTTATTTATTTTTAATAACTTTTGAAATTATATTGTTATTAAAGACGGTATTATTATCATCCATCTTTTCCTTGATTTAGTAGTTCCCCCTCGTGGGGCATAGGGCGAACACATTTTTGTGTCCGTTTCACTGTTACTTGTTACATGTTATTGCACATGAAGGCACTATAAAATTTAATATATAAATGGGGAAAATAAATTGAAAAAATTTTCGACTCGGGCAGGACTTGAACCGGCATCGTCCGTGATGTTGCAACAGCAATGATCCGTTCTTTTTGATCAGACTTCTGTGCCCTGTCCGACCGAAACAATGTTTTTTTTTTGTTTCCCGAACCCCAGGACCTCTCGCGCTTAACACAATGCTAGGCAATACGTTTAACCATTTGGCTACAGAGGGTTCAAGTTAAGGAGAGATTATAGTACTTGAGAGTCAGATCACAAAAGTCACATCAACTTCTTGCTTCTAATTAACATGGTGAAACAGAAACAACAATGTCTCTGCCCAAGCGCCCATACTGATTCTGACACACACTGACGCATTATAAATGAAAATACTGTACTGTAGCTGAAACACCATTTCAAACTATCAAATTAACACTGACACAGTATACTAAAAATCCAAAGTCCTTAATCATATTTATTCATGTACGTAAGTAGAATCACTTAAGAACGCAATTGCGGTTTTAAAAAGTTTCCAAAATGTATATTTAATTACAAATTAATATCAAGGTTAACTTGTAACTCAAAATGTATAGTAAAACTCAATGCTTTTATTGTACCTAACTCTATAAAGCGCGTTCATAGAACTCCTTACTCTTGCGGCCTGTAAAATTTAGTGAGCCCCTATACATAACAGCTAGACAGCACAAGGGCACTTGGCTACATCTGCCGAAAACGCCACCGCACCATAGCCAGTTTCGCTCGAAATACGAGCTCAGTAGAAAATCGCACCGGGCGGCGTATACTGCAAATTAACAAGCTTTCCCCCGTTCAATATTTTACCGACGTCGAATCCGGGAACGCCCGTCCCTACATCCCCACTGAATCAGCGGTGAGCACGCCTACATCTTGTATCAACGCCGATTGCTACGAGACCTTAGATAAAGTAATATCTACGGTTCACTCCGAGAACTGGTTCTCAGTGATTTAGTTTACTTACCCCTGGCTTTGCGGATGGGATCCTATATGTATAGTGTAATTAATTACTCTCCAGAGTTCAGTAGGGTTTTGCCATTAAACGTGAGGGCCTGATGCTCTATCGAATTTAATTTTGAAAAAGGTCTACAGATCTAAGCTATAATTATTAGAACTAGGACCTAAATATTATAATACGTTGTTCCTAAAAATTTAACTTGTAAATATGTTGAAACGCCATACAAATGGAAAACGAAGTAAATGATTATTAAATCTAATAAAAATCGAACAAAAAAGAAATCTAAATTTGTAATAAAAATTGGATATACAAACGATATAGTGTAGAATAAACGATGTATATAACATTTTTACGTATTCTTATAATTATAGTGGCTATAGGTATAACTCTGTACGGTGTTCGAGCGTTAATTGTTGAACTATTTTGTAAGATACCTCGGTTTGTATTTATGTTTCATGTAAAATATCACGAATTTTAACAAAAGTTTAACAAGTAAGCTGAATTTGTTTTATTTTGTTAACTCTATGTAATTTCAGCCATATTGTTTCGCAAATTGCATGCTAATGGAACATAATTCGAAAACCTCGACCGTTTTTGTTAACTATCAAACTCTTATTGAAGGTACAGACAGGGTCTTCTAAACATGAAGCCAAATTTTATTTACCGCAAATAACCGACTAATTTTACTTATTTACCCCTGGAAATCGGCGGCAATAATTTGGCTCTTGCATTAAGAAAATTGCAGAAATAAACAACATTCGAAAGAAATGTATCGCTGCGAAATTACGCCAAAGCGTTCGTTACACGCATGTAAATATTAGCCGGAAAACGCCGGCTCCGCGTGGATTCCGTGCCGTGTAACATTTTAAAAATCAAAATGACCACTGACTATGGCCCACCTAATTCCTATAACTATGCTAATCGCGCCCGCCTTTACCAAAATATAATCTTTAATCTGAATGCAAATCATTCTAATACGTTCCGATTATAAAGAGCTATAATTTCGGTATTATATTGTCCATCAGTGTTTTACATATAAAAATAAAAGGTGTGCAATCAAGTAATTTGTTCCCCGACCTACTAATCTCTTTTCGTGATAGTATCGTGTTTTCGGCTTAGGCTTTAATTTGGGAGGACGTTTTCTTAGTATAGATAAGATCTATTTATTTTGTCGGTGCATATCGCGGATTTAATTGAGGATCTAGGGTCCTTTAACATTACGTTTAGTTAAAACTGAAGCAAGCAATTCAACAAGTACTAGTAATTCACGCTTAAAAATTGTTGGAATAATCATCTAATGTGGAAATAGTCCATAGGGTAGAAATTATGTTTTATTCTCTTTTACGAATTCTCTTTTCGTCATTAATACGGATTACTTTAAGCTTTCAACTTACGTATATAAAAGAATAATATATTCATCTACTTGTTTGTTTATGAAAGACGAGGACAGACAAGCATTTCTCACCTTACAAGCGTAGTTAAAATACCCCATCCAGAGAACATCTAACACGACGGGCTATTTTGGCTTTCGCTGTTCGGAAATCCACAGACTGAACCCGAAACGCGATGTCTTCTTTCTCCGAAGCTTCGCGGCTTTCATCTGTAGACAGTGGAATTTCGATAGTCCTACCACCTTAATATTAAGTACAAGTACAAAAGGTTTCAATAAATATATAAATTGCTTAAATGTGGCTATATACCTTTACACCAACGAGTCCGTCGTAGTTTCGCCCTACACAAAATCTCATAAAGAATGATAAATCAAATTAATTTCAGACGGCAATGCACTGGGCCTGCAAGCGTGGAGACGAAAACTTAGTAAAGCTGTTAGCTGGAATACAACGGCACATTGTCAACGAGCGCTCTGTGAGTAACCGTTACTTATCACTTAACCAGTCGTTTAATTAACGCTGATTAGTTTGAAACATATTAACCACGTGTTAAAACATCAGCTAGTTCTGTTCCTTTTTCGTCAATCTAGCATCGATTTTTAATTTACCGCTAATTCATAGTTAAACTAACAGTCTGAACAGTCTAAAATTAAATGTAATATAATGTAATCTATTCTCAAAACAAAGTTAAGACAAAACTAAATTTTAAATAAAACACTTTAAACGGCTTTTAACGCGAAATGTATTGATTAATTTATTTTCAATGTAATTTAACTACGTGTTAAACCGTTAAACATGTTTTATTTAAATCTTCACTACAGACAATTCATGATACCCTTTTCGAATTTCAGTTGTCTGAAGAAATAATTCTTAGTTTGCGACAGAGATCGAATCCCTGACTTCTATACCTATATTTATATCCCTGAGTCTATAAATTGTTATAGATGTATTAATGCCTTGTTTAAATAAATTTTTGGCTTTTAATTAGCAGTTTACGTTCAGCCAGCCATAATTGTCGTGTTTAGTGCTCAATCAAATCCACTCCAACCGTTCAACCAGTTTTACGGTACCATTAAAGGTCCATTCTCTTTTTCATGTGCTGTTCGTCGGGAATGCAGAATGGGGTATGTCGCCGTTTTATTACTTAACTACTTGTGGATTCAGTGTTACGCTTCACTAAATTAGAACACGCGTCATGACAATTTAATACCAGTCCAATAAAACTTCAATGCCCTGGGTTCGAATCTCGCGGAAGTATTTTTAATGAAAAAGAATCTAATTGGTGTTTAAAATATATAGGTATTGGCTTCGTGTAGTCCCCCCTCCCATACGTACACATTTGACCTTCTAATGCGATGAGGGGTTCACAAGTTGTGTTTCGGACGATTGCAAAAGCAATGTGTCAAATCTACATTTAAATATTTTTAACGGTTTAAAACTACGGCTTGATATTTCGGATGCTTTACAACAGCAGTCCTCCCGTAACCACGACTGAAGCAAAGCTTCTTCGGGCCGAGCTGCGAGCAAAATTTAACTAATGAATTTCGCGTTTTAAAACGTTAAAAGTATTTTATTACAATGTTGCGCAAAGTACAGAAAGTACTTCACTTATTTATCAACCTGGTATGCTGGCTTCGAATACTAGAATTAAACTAAAAAAATGTTTTGGTATAACATTTTTTTAGTAAAATTCTCTTTTCTCAAGTAGGGGAAGAGGGAAAATTTTACAATAAATACCGGAGTGTACTACGCGTGATAGTACGATATGATTCACGAGCGACGCCTACATTTTTTTCGTCTTCAAATTTTCGCTTTTATGTTACAGCTGTCGCTGTAATATTGAGTGAGTCTCAGTTTTAATATCTATTCAACGTGACGTACGAATGTTATGGCCCAGGAATGTGCTTATTGGAGGGTCGTTGAAGATTTATAAAAAAAAATAGTCTCACATCAAAGGACTTAGTATTTTTGAAGTTGAAAGCTTGTTTTTAACGCGCGTTTTGGCTACAGTCGTATATTCTCTTGTTTTGCTAATCCGTTCCATTGATCAGACAAGGGTCGCGAAGCCAATAAAAAGATGGAACCCGAATATACGCTGTTTTTCTATCACCTAGCTGTATTTAAAATCTTCACGCTAGAAAATGTCACGTATTGCGTATTTCTATTTATTATAAACAAACGCAACGTATAATCTACTTTTTCTTGATATCAATAAATTGCTGCAAGGGGTGAAATTACTAAATGTTGAAATATAAAAATTGTGTGCCCATTAATTGGAATGAGCACTTCGTACGTGAGGCTGAAGCGCACGTCAGAATTGAGTTACTAAAGTGATCGAGCATATGTGGGAAGTACGTAATTCTAATGTCTTCAATATTATATTTTTCAGGGCTACACGCCTTTGCACATTGCGATGCAGTTTCGTCGTGAAAACGTTTATCGACTACTAGTGGAAGTATATGGTAAGATTTTTTTTGTTTAAAACTACACAAATGTATCGAATTAACATCCTAATGTCGGAATATTATTTATCTTAATAGAGTTCTTTATAAATAAATTGTACAAATACTACCAAAAAATATTTTTTACGTAATACCCATCATAAGAATGTTCATTTTAGTCATATATTGAGATACCATAATTCCCACATAAGAAACATCACATTTATGTCCAAATAGTTACATATAGTTAATTTGCTGCCACCTAGTAACTTTTTGTTAAAGTATTTACAATTTTATTCCAGCGCCATCTTGTGGTATAATTATTAAGTACATGTAATTTAAGCATCTCTTTGGAGCCACTTCAATTATTTATGTAGCTGCCATCTTGTATTGAGTGTTGAAATACCTTCTCCCCAACTTGGCACATTGGGTAGACACATTTCTTCGATTTTATTAAAATTATGTTCAATATTCAGTATTCTTTGCCAAACGAGCTCCGTGAGTTACAAACTTAGGTCCGCTTATTATAAGCCACAAAGCTGTTTCATGGCAGTCGTCAAAAAAGTAATTCTTATATTTCGTATTTTCAGATGCCGATCCTAATGTTAGAGACTGGTCTGGAAAGAAACCTAGGCAATATTTAGTTCATATGGATACCTCTCTATCTCCTGGTTCATACCGAAGTAAGTATATTTATTATTAAGATTTTCATTGTGTTAATCTTATTCACTCTTAGTTCAATCTTATTTAAATCGATGCAAAATATACTAGCTAATAACTCATCTAATTTATTATAAACTGTTTGTTTTAATTTTTTTACAAGTGTCTATAAACTACTACCATAATATTAACTACTACTATACTATACATGATACTTTTAAATAATACTATTGATATAACAAACAAAATAAAAAGATTTTTCGCCATACTTTGGAGATCATGTCATACGTAGATACCAAATACAATATGTAATTTATTGTTCTCTTGAACTATGATAGTGGCACAATTTATCATACAAAGCGTAAACGGCAAAGATTTTTATATTACTAGAAACCATAAACAAGTTACTGCTCGATAAACTATTATAATGCTACTACGAACTGGGATTTCAACATAAAAAACCTTTTCAGAACCGCCACAAAATAACTTACGCCGTACGGTTACTGCTCCCCCCAATATTAACCAGGTTCCTATAGTTACTCTAAGGCGCTCAGAGTCCCTCATGCCGTCAAGTAAGAGATAGTGGGGCGGTGATTGGTGATGGTCGTCTTGTTCGTCCACATTGTCTGTGTCCTTGCTTAATGTTAAGATTCGCTGTGTAGTTATTATATACAAATGTAAAAAGCGAGACAAAAATACAGCCATTAATATTTCTATGTCTGCTTAAACTTTGTTTATTTGTTTTTTCTTTTCTGCTGGTTATCAAAAATAACTACCGATTCTGACCCCAATTTTAATAAAGTTATTATTTTACTTGTCTTAATACTATGAACAAATACATATCCATTGATTATTATTTATTTCTGCTTTCTGTGTTTATATATGTTACAATAATTGTCGATTTATATATCTTGTTTTGAACGCCAAAATTGCCTTTAACCATATCTGCTCGTTTTAACATAGAGAAAGAGGGATTCCTTCGCATCGGTTCGCTAAATGTTCGAGTCAAGAAGACGACAGAGGCGTTCAGTAACTTCCTCGGCGTTGGTGCGACTAGGTCATCTGCGTATGTGCCAAAGTCGGCGCGAGAGAGAGAACTAGATCGGCGATCGGATGATAGCGATCAATTGAAGTCGTGGGGATCAGCAGACAATATACAGGTAACTGTATGGTTCCACCAGGTTATTAAAAAGACGAATTCTGCCATATCTATCTTTCATGCCACTCTCGTCGTGTCAGCAACGCGCGCTATTCCGTCCGTTTAAAAACTACATCATTATTTAACGGTGCTTTTCAACGACAAATATACATTTGCTAGATAAAAAAGCAACTTAACAGTGTATTAAAAATAACTATAAGTTTTATATCAACGAACAACTAACATTTCTATGAACTATTTTTTTAAATCAGTCATATAGTTTCTAAAATAACAGCACTAAATCAAAAAAACATTAAATGTCTTAACCTAAATACAATTTTCTGCCGATTTAAAATAAGTTTTATCATCTCAGTTTTTTAAATATTAATAATGAATTGTGTGTTTGCTTGTCTCGACATAGCCCTCTGATTTGTAATAAATACATCTAATAAATAATTATATTTAATACCAATTCAATTTGGATAATTTCAGAAAGATGACAAAATGCTACCTCCCATGAACAACAAAGTTCGGAAACGGGCTGCAAACGGTAGAAGAGGTGTGGCTTCCCACAGCCGCAGTACACCATCTACACCAGACCAGGTAACTTCATTCTTAATTTTACAGTTAATTATATCTAAATAATACAATAGAAACAGTCTATTCTTTGAAAATTATTTTTGATGATAATGCCATCTAGTGAATCATTGGAAAACTACGTAGCGTATCGTACAATCAAAAATTTTAAAACGGGCAAAAGCAGTTATGGATATCTGTGATTATTCAACTTTAAACATTATGCCGGAGCATGCTATCTTTATACTAATTTAGTTTGTTAAAAATGCAAACATTTGTCCGGGATTTTTAGCAGCATCATATACACCAGAAGTTAATAGCAACATTAATATATAAATAAAATAATAATAAAGATACATTTCATATTATACCTGGCTAAAAATAATTGTACTTTTGACTCGTAATAATTCTTATTGTGTGTGTGTACAATAATTGCAGCCTCGCGCTCAAATTGGTGCTGGCGGCAATGGAGACTCTGACTCCGACTCTGCTGCTGGTTTTCATGCTGCGTGGAGGCAGCTACAAAGCTAGTTATTGCGACATGTATCACAAAGTATGGACATGAAGATATTTGTTATATTTACACAGCATTAACGTTTTTTCTTTTCTATGTTTTCTTTTTTTTTAATACAATCTTAGTATACAAGTGCTTAAACCGGCCTTCTACAGAATTTGACAATCCCTCTTAAATTAGCAACTACGCTAGTAATAAAACTACACGAGTATTTTTTACGCAATGGACAGTTTTATAAAATTACGACGATAAAAATATTATTTGTTTAGACAATAAAAAATGTTCAAAGCATGTATTTTTACCATCACACTTCACAAAAATTCCTTCTTTTACACTTGTGTGTGTAATTTATTTGTCTAATACACACATGATTAAAGATTTTTTTTAAATCGGAGTAAAGTATAAAATCCAAAATTAACTATAGAACAAAAAAGTTTTCTTTCTCTTCTTTAGATATGCGTGGTCTAAAAATTTGCGCAAAAACTTCTACACGAACTAAATGCCTGGTTTTTTATGTATAATACATATATGTTTCGTTTCTTTGTTAACAATTGCTCTTATATCGATCAAATTTTTGTATTGTTTAAATGTGTTGACGAAAAATTAAAAGCCTTATATATGCTACGTTGGTTAACTTAATGCCATGTCAAGTGAAATAAAACCTTAACTTTTTACTATTGTAAATATACTTGTTTCTAGGATCCAAATATTCGTCCTTTACTTTCTTGTCTATGATACACATAAAAACTTTTTTCTTATTAAAAAAGGCACAAATTTTAGTCTTAACTTAGATATTATTATTTAAAGTACGTCTGCATTTTAATCTTATGCGATGTTCCTATGTCACATCCATTTTCAACACTCTAATGGGTTGAAGTAAATTATTAATAGTATTGTTTTATTAAATATTACTTTTTTCAAATACGTGTTACTCACAATACATACATTCCTATGTAGTTATTTATGTTTTAGCTGTGTATATTTTTAAGTAATAAATATTGTAACAATAAAGTATACAAAATAAATGTTTTTCTATTTTCTGCAAGTCATATTAAATGATCTATCTAAAGGTGATTGCTACAATTATTATCTGTAAAATGGTTGATTAATATTTATAATTATACCTAGACAATACTTTTCTCGTTAATTATAAATAATTTTTTTAAACATAAACACAATGAGTAAAGGTATGTGTGAGTCGGTGATGATTATCCATTGATAAATAACACTTGCTCCTCCACTTTCAGTATGCATTTACTAACAATATAATATTACTACCGTAAATCTGCATTGTTTTAGTATTAAAGCCAGTTACATATGAAGTGTTTCACTTTACCATCCATTACCGTTACCATCTTCTCAATATGATTTTGTTGGTGTCCCTAAAATAATATAGTAATACTGACAAAAGGTGAGATATGTGCGGTATATTTAAAATCCGACAATGTGTATACTGTCAATGTAAACATTTGTAACACAATCCATGTCTAAAGTCTACGCTAACAATATTTAGGACCTATTTAACGAATAAAATATTTGCAAAGAACATTTGGTTTGTACCAGCTTCAATTCATAGTTAAATACTTGTACCAGATTTTTCTTTACCTTCGCTTTGATCCTAAGAAGCTAAATAGCGTCTTAAATTATTAACAGCTGATGATGTTATCAATGCGTCAATAATAATTATTATAAATAATCGTCCCATGCCTCACATTGTTAGTCAATTGTAGAAAAGTAAATTGGACATATTTTCATTTTTTTTGCGTCTGTTTTGTTATAACTTAAAAGTGTAGTTATTTTGTTAACTATACTTTTAAGTTATAACAAAATATATAAATGTTTCTTTCATTTTTATTTTCCATTTTCTCTTTTTTTTAATGTTGCAAGTATCAAAATTAAAATAATTTTGATACTTGCAACATTAAAAATGTCCTCATGTCACCGAATTCGGAATTTATTATCATTGTTTTTTATTACTTTTTACTTATTTAGAGCTACACAGTATGCCTAAATTAATTCGAAGTGTTTTCCGAAAGCTTAATCCTCTGATAATTACGTCATAACACGTCACGTCACGTCAGCCAAAAATAATTCCGCCTTTAAGATTTATTCTGTGGTACAAACTTTTCAGACGATCACATGATCTGTACAATACTGTTAATGCTATCTAGTGATAAAAACTCGTTTTGAAGTTTATTTTCTCCAGTCTGTGTCGATCGGTTTGTGGCGGCAATAGTAAACATTGAGCGTGCGTAAAGTTTACGCTGTAAATGAAGTTTTTTGTTTTGAAAATTATGGTATAACACGTTGAATGGTTTTTCAAATTTTCTATATTTAATATTTTTTTACTTTGGTATAAATCCTTTTTAAGATGAATTCGAATAATGACGCGTCTTCGTATAAGGTAAGATCTTCAAGTTTGTATAGTTTAAGATAACCCTAATGTAACATCATTACAGTTTATATAAACTTGCGTTACCTTGATTTACTGAACTGTAATAAAAATATAAAATGAATAGCGGTCTGAATTGCTGTGTAAAGATTATTTGTTTCGATTTATTATTAATAGCTTGGTTAGGAAACTTAAGTACAATTCTTGTGAGCTTATTAAAGCCTACTTATTCACAAACTAAATGATAGTTTACATAATTTGTTGTAGTAAACATGATTTAATATTTGTCAATTTTTATATTGTTTAAAAACATTCATAAGAAAGTATTAATATTTATAACAGCTATCAATCAAACTCTTTTTTTTTTAAGGTGAGTTTTAGAAGTTGGAGCCATTTTGTGAAATGTTTAAAGTTTAGAAAAATAATGTAATTTTATAGTGGCCTGGATATAATATAACATTCCAAATCTTAACAACCAACTAATGGCATTGCCATCATAAGAGGGTCTAAAGTTTCGGTTTATTTATAATATGATGGTAAATTAACACTTAAAAATACAAAAATGTGGACATTCATATGTGTCAAATAAATAATAAGGTTTTAGTTATATCATGTAAAATGGAATCCCTAATAATACATTTTCAAGAATATTGAAGTCTTAATTGTTTATTACTTAATACAAGTAAGGACATAAAAGAAGATAAAGTTTTTTTTTTTCACATAGATGGAGGTCAGAAAACCATGGTACACATATATAACTGTGGAACCCACATTATTTTTCTATATGATGGCCTTTATGATAACCAATGTTATCGAACAGACATTCTACTTGTTTCGAGCATGCACAGTAAACCATGGTTACAGTGCAGATATTTGTTACAATATTAGCAGCTATGATAAAATTAATAAGGAAGTGCAGGTATGTAATTAAAGGACATTTTAATGTGTTTGCGTTATTTTCAATTTCTACAGTTTTGTTTGTGTGTTTATTGACAATAAAGGATTTTACTGTCAATATACATACAATACATTTAAGGTACCACCCTGAAAGGTATGTCACCTAAAATCATTTACAAAAGGTAAAAAAGATTTGACTGGGTAGGGAGAGAAGTGTGCGCAATGAATGAAGGTGATCTTAAGTCTTTTTAATAGTTCTTGCTTCCAGTTACAAATCTGGAACGTTGCCAATACTTCTCAAACTGTAACCCAAAAATCTATGCTAAACTAGGCAGTGACTAACTAGTTTAGCTTAGATTTTTTGTCTCCCATTTCTATTACTACCCTGTCTGTGTGTAACTCATCTATATCACAAAAACTGTGATAACAACTAATACTTAAATCATTATGGAAGTCCCATTATATCTCAATAGGACTTTCATACAAAAACACAACTTTATTGTTTATTTCTGAATTATAAAATGTAGACAAAATATTATAATTTACTGCTGTTTACATAAATATTTTTACTAAACCCTTATGCACAAGACCCATCATCGAATGGACAAGGATACATTATCCTATCTGTATGTTGGTATACCTCTATAATATAGTATGTATACTTAGTGCAGTTTTTCAACAAGGAGCGCAGAACGACCGAGAAGAAATATCAAGAAATACGCCTCCACTCTTTTTATCGCCAATTTTCAATTTACATTTTCACGTATTTAAGTGCAGTACATATTCTTTCTCATTAGAGCGGGTTGCTCCAACTAGTAATAATTACCAACTCCAAATTTAATTATTTCCGTTTAGTAATATCGCTATGTTGAATAGCTTAAAAAAACATCCCGATACTAGCAAACTAATTTTCAACTGTCGTTTTTTATTGAATTATTTTGTTTTTATCACTCTGTGTTATGAACAATGACAAACACTTACACTTTTCACCCATTAGTATTACAACTATCAAACATCTAAATGATTTATTAAAGAAGGATAAGGAAGGATCGTACAATGTTGTCGCCTATATAGATAGTGGTTAGGGTTATTACACTAGCACTCTGGTACGGTGTTTTCTATGATGAAAGTCTCTTGACAACTTAGGTCGACAGCACATCTGACAAGATCTGCTGCGGCCTATGTTGGTCTTGGATATTCTAAAATCGGAGATCGAAGCGCGATTTAACTACTGCTGTGTCATCTGTGGACGGTGGTGATGATCCGGATGGAAGTACGATATTCCTACCTAGATTTCCAGACGAAGTTCAACATGTTTCAGAAGAACTTTGATTAGAAAATGTTAGGACCCGATGGTGATCGAACCCACAACCCGTTGATTTGAGCCACACATTACTATCATCAGAGCAACGATCGAAAGAACCTGTCCAGTGATTAGCAGTTGGAAGTTGCGGTAAACACATGTACAAAAATGTTATTGATATTACTAAATCTAAGTGACAAAATAGCGTGTAGGCATTTCATAATTTTACATCTAATACTTTTGAAGTGGCTGTCTAGATAAGTTATCCCCTTAACAATGCACTGTTTAATATTTATTCGTTTGTTATAGATAATTTACATGTTGAAATGTTGAGAGAATTTTCAGCATATCTTTACATCTCAGCAGATACTTAACTTTTGGTCGATTATACCGGCGTATTAGATTAAAAATATATATGTAGTTAGACAATAAAAGTTTTTAGAAAAAAACTTAAATAAGTGGCTCCTTGAATATGAATTGATTTTACGGAAACTTTTAAAGTATTTGTATAAAAATGAAAATACGTTGATTACTCTTATGTTTTATGATTTATGGTCCGCCAAATTAAACCAGTCAACAACCTTCCGTTACCACAAACGAAGTGTTCGGCATTATTCACTCGGTTAACAATAATAGGTAAAAAAAAAACAATAATTTAGTGACTTTTCATTTCTAATGCCCAACTTTTTAACGTATCGTGCAAAAATATCGCAATAAAAGTGTTTTTTCTTTACACTCCCTTATTTGTATATTTATTTATTTTTTTTGGTACTAGCTGTGTCCGTGACGTCGTCCGCGTAAAATAGTTATTTTTAGCATCGAAATTGGTGTCTTGACGCTTCGCAGCGTACGCAACGGAAATCCTCAAAGACGAATAATTTTCCCCTTTTTTCGATAAATGTTCTTATAAAAAAAAGTTTTCAATTCTAACCACTATTTCCCGAGATTAGCAGGTTCAAACAAACAAACAAAGTCTTCAGCTTTATCATATTAGTAAATATTCCCATTTTATAATAAAAAAAAATTTTTTGGGAATTTTTAAAATTTTTTGGTTCTCGGCCCCCCGCGGTCCCATACAGACAGCGCGGTGTTAGTGGTGGGGGTCTGCTGTATACCCTTTGAGTTGCAACTTAAAAACCAGATTGATTTTCGCTCAATGGTAAAGTACGGCTAATAATTAACGGTTCGTGGTTCGACCCCACCGGGTCCTACATTTTCTAATCAATTTTTAATTTCTGAAACATGTTGGACTTCGGCTGGAAGTCTGGATATTAAATGGATGGTAGGAATATCGAAATTCCGTCCGGATCACGAGCCACATCAGTCTGTGGATCCCGAATAATCAAAGTCCAAATGGTCGACAGCGCATCTGGTTTAGATGCTTTAGGTTATTTCACCTACCATCAAGTATAAAATATCATAAAAATATGGCGAATGAATTTTATTTTCCTCAGGTGACTACTTCACTTTTTCATCAGTGGAATGGAATAGCCATGCACGTGGTGCCTGTCTTTCTGGCCTTCTTCCTGGGCGCGTACAGCGACAAGCGAGGCAGAAAGATCATAATACTGGCTGGTCTCCTGGGAAAATTATATTTCTCACTTATGGTCACTTACATCACTACGAATTGTGAGTTTGAAAACTTTAATATTTTCACATGTTATTGCACATGATGGCATTATATAGATTATAAATCGATTTTAGATTGGAATAATTTTACGACACGGGTGAAGCTTGAACCGGTATCCACACTGTACCGACCTGTTGCTGAACCTATAGGTCGAAAAAAAATCGACGATCACGTGTTGGAGACAGTAGCACAATTGGTTAGAGCAACAGCATGAAACGCTGTGGATGCCTGTTCAAGTCCCGCCCGTATTGGTAGAACTGAGTTTTTTTTAATACAGTCTATCGGTTAGTAGTGGTGGTAACAACGGGCGGTACTATTTCTTGTCCGTTCTACACAATTTGTAATTTATCAAGCGAGTTTATTTGATGTCTCAAAATATATTATAATTGTTTAATTCAATACAAAATAGAGTTAGGGTTACGACTTTAACTCTATTGACTTTGGAAGTAAAAGAACGTGGTCGAACTTCGACGGACTAGTCTTGTTTGTATGGCTAATAATGAAAAGGTCGTAGATTCGATCGCACCAGGTCCTACACGTTAGACTACGTCTGGATAATCTGGATAGGAATTTCAATATACTCTTTCTTTATATAACGTGAACTATAATTGCGTTTTCGTGTCAGTCTGGAGATTTCCGAATATGCAAAGAAAAAAAAGGTCCACAACACATCTTATTTAGATGTTATATCGTTGGGTTATTGCACATTTCACAATAAAAAAACATATTATCCTGGCATCGCAAACTTTGAAACCATATAAGTATAACTGAGTCATGGAGACAGATAGTGAATTTTACTTCTGGTAACCCTCTTTCTAAAAGACGTCTGGTCAGCAGTATATAATGGCTTGAAGCAACGATTACGCCTTTTTCCCGTCTTAGAAAGACGAATGAAAGAAGAATCGAAGTAAGGTTTTCATGCTTCCTTCCATCCTTATATGGTTGCACGTAGGGCGAGTTGTCTTGTTTCATTTTGTATGTGAACAGACAAAAATTTGGATTCCGATCTGTTTTATTGACGAAATCAACATGGAAATGTATTAAATGTAGGCTTTGTAAATTCATAAAAAAAACATATAGTAGGATTTTTCGTGAAACGCTTACTATAGAAATAATCCTATGATGTGTTCACCCCATGTCCCACGAGAAAAAAAAACGCTTTTAACGGTTCGAAGCTCATACATTTTGCGTTTAAACCCGTAAAAAGTGTTTTATTTAAATGTGTACTACTCGCGTAAAGTACAGACACTATTTAACAACTAATTTGACCACCACAGTCCTTTTTACTATAGTAGACGAACGTCTTTCATACAACAAAAAAAACACAATATTCCTTACGTGCTTCTTAGAATCCCTAAAGAAACACTTCCTAAGAACCATATATATATCCACCTCTCTAACTAATAAATGACCTTCGCTTTATTTCTTTGTAATATTTGAAGACTTGTTTTGGTATTGAATGCAGTTTGGTTTGTTTTTTAAGTTTAATATTATAATATTAGCCGAGAAGAATTCTACTTAAGTGGGTAGTCATTCGTTTTTAGAGCCCCGCTTGATAGATCCCGGATTCGAATTTAGGATAGAGATTATATGATTATAGTTAGAGAATGCATATGGTAATCTATTGCAAAATGGCTTATTCAATATGTTATATGGTAAAGTAATTTATGTCATCAAGATTACATCTTGTTTTACGACAATAAAACAATATCAATATAATGTTTATGTTAGCCAAGGTTCAACTCACGTCTAAATAATATGACGATTTAAGCATTGTCTGCAGTTTACGCGAGTGGTACACATTTAAATAAAATACTTTTAACCACTTACACCCGAGATATGTCAGTATTCTTTATTACGACTACGTAACCTCGACCGGACGGTGTAACCGAGGCCCCCCTATGACCACGGCTGCTGCAAAGCATCCAAAACGTCGGGTCGTAGTTAAAATTAATTTATTTCGTATAGTTTCGAGGTTTGATTATTAAAGTGTAATTATAAATACTTCATAATACGATGTAATGTGTGAATACATTCCTGCCAGACCAGACACAGTACAGAGATGTCTGATAAGACGTCTCGTTTAGTTTTTCTGCAGTGTATTTAGTTTCAGCACCCAAGATAAGCCGGGGCGGGTCGCTAGTAAATAATAAATAAATACTTACGTAGTTAACATAATCTACAATAAAAATAAATGAGATGTTATGAAAGTGCAATTTTTAAGCAACAACAATTTTACAGCAGCCGAAACGTCGGGGCGAAGTTAAAAATCATTTTCAAATAAGTTTAACTAATATATCGCGTTTTAAACCGTTAAGGTGTTTTATTTAAATGTGTACTACTCGCGTAAACTATAGACAGTATTTATTATATGTACATGTTTACCACGTATATAAAAGGTCTAAAGTGAATTATTTTAATTGCCCTACCAGATTTCTTAGAACGCTGTTACCTGATATCTGATGAGGTATTTGAAATCTTTTATTCTTCACTTTACTAATATTCGTACATTTATAAAATTGTATATTGGCTGTATCAGCGACTTCATCCGCGTAAAATAGTTATTGTGGGCGTAAGTTTGTTTTTGCAAACCTCCTCGTAACTATAGCTGTTAGCCACGACATCGTTTACGTCCCATCGGTCTTGAAAGTTAATCTGAAAAGATGAACATATACTGTCGGAAATTTTTTAGATCATTTAACGATTATTATTTCATACATACTTTTGGGTATCTCGAACCATTCTCGCAGCGTATACAACTAAAACCCAGAAAGATGTGTAAATTTTTACCCGTGTGCCAATATGCTAAACCAACACAAAAATAATTTACAATTCGAACCAGTAGTTCCTTAGATTAGCGCGTCCAAACAAACTCTTCAGCTTTTTATATAAATTTTCTTTTACTTTTTTCAGCTTGGCCTGTCCAATACGTCATATACTTCGCAGTTTTGCCAAGCGCACTGACCGGCTCCGACTTAGCCATATTCGCTGGGTGCTTCGCGTACTTGGCTGATGTGTCTTCGGTCGAGAATCGAACCCTGCGCGTCGGCATTTTGGACGCCGTTTATTTAAGCACAATGCCAACTGGAATTTACTTTGGTAAGTATTAGATTTCAATATTTATCATTAATTGATCAGCCGACACAGTTTTGTCTGTTTTACTTATTCGATATATTATAATGGCTAGTAGGTTATAATTTAATGAAATAAAATAGTATCGTACCTCAAGAGTCGTCGTAGTTAAAGTAAACTAATAATGGGTTATCTAATATACTTAGCGTATTAAACCGTTAAAAGTATGTAAAAATAGGTTATCAATTATCATTCTTTGGGTCAATCTATTTCAAACAATTGATTGTGTTTTCCATGCGTTTTGTATCGTCTCAAATAGCAATGTAGTTGTGGATACATAAAAATAACAATAAGATTTTTTCTTTGCACTTACATTTTTTATTAATGAAATTAATAACTTTTTATTTTGAATCTATAATAAAAATATGTTTTTAAAATGTAAAATATGTTTTTTTTCTCAAATACATATATAACAAAAAGTTTGATAACAAACGGTCAGTGATAGTTTTAATGGTGACAAAATACTTAACAGCTTTATCTGCCGTTAAGTAAACATGTCGTTTTTCTAACAATCACATCTGGACAGTCGTCTCGCCTTGAACTATTTATCATTTAATCGATTATACCACACTCGATTGTTACGATTCGATTTTATTACGTGATAGCTACGCTACAATATACAGTGAAATCTCTATTCCCTCAGTCTGGTTTCGAACTTAGGACCTCTCGTATCCAATGCAGGGCAAGGCAACAGACTTAAGTCACGCATGTGTAAATGTTTGTAATTAGTATCTATATTCCTTACTAATATTATAAATGCGAAAGTAACTCTGTCTGTCTGTCTGTTTGTCTGTCTGTCTGTCTGTTACTCTTTCACGCCAAAACAACTGAACGGATTTGAATGAAATTTTGTACACATATGGTCTAGACCCTGAGAAAGAAATTTATTGCGAAAAGGGGGTTGTAAGTGGTTAAAAGGGGGGGTGAAAGTTTGTATGGAAATCCTCGGTTTTTGAAGCTAGAACAATGAAACTTTATTCTTTGGCTTTTTGGAAATAGGAGTGGGAGTGGGAGTGCGAGTTAGAGTAGGTGTGATGCGAGGTCAGAGTGTTGCGGCAAAGTAGCATTTACAAAATAGGTTGGCTGCGATAAATGTGCAGTTACATATATTAATAAACAGCCTAAATAATTAAAATTTCTACCCCAAGTCACTTCGCCCACGCGAACGAAGTCGCGGGCACAGCTAGTATTATATATGCCTACAAATTCTACCTATAACTCGGTCATGGCTTCGACTCACACCGGGTCCAGTGCGCTTGCAAAATCAAGACGTATTGGGCACCTGGGCACGAAACTAGTTTATAGAAATTGCTTTATAGTATAAAATTGCTTTGCGATTTTTGTCTTAGAAGTTCCGAACGTCTCAACCAAAAACTAACTAACAGTGACTGTGTTATACGGTTGGCTTAAGTCGTGTTACAATTCCCACTGCTGGGAATCGAAATTGTTTTCTTTTACTTTCTTTCAATGACAAGCTTTACAATGTTGAACATATCATTTTATTATGACAGAAGGACAGACAAACCCCAACCATATACCTTTATTTATTTTTTTCAGGTCCTGTCATATAAAAATTCTACTCATAACTTTGTTAAGGTTGTTATCAAAAAAAATTAAAAAAAGAAAAGATTTCGATCCCAACTGTGGGAATAGTAAAACGTAAAGATATGTGCCATGTTTAACTGTGTATGTATTTCTAATTTCAGGAAACCTGATTTTCAATCATCTAGCTAACCGATCGTTTACAATTATGTTTGCGATAAACTCCAGTCTAATGGTGTTAGCGACTCTTCACTGCGCGTTCTTCCTCAAATGGGAGTCCAGAGCTGAACAGGTCTCCATGAGGGAGGCAGGCATAAGGAACCCGATCCGGGATTTCTTCGATATCAACAATATTAAGCAGTCTGTGGTCACTTTGACGAAACCACGCCCTCACAATAGACGACTGTTCCTATGGTTTCTCCTTATATCTATGGCGTTTTACACGTTCCAACGAGGTAATTACAATACTATGTATAGTGTATTTTTCTAACTAGATGTTTTTAGGAAGCAAAAACAAAATTTATACGAAATCGTGATTTACTAAAGTTAAACACATCTACACTTATATATAAAACTGAAGAGTGTGTTTGTATGTATGTTAATCGATAACCTCAGAAACATTCTTTTTGTGTTGGTTGGTTGTGACTAAGAGGGGCGAACAAACAGCGGAAAATGTGGAATAAACGGGGGAAATTATTGATCTCTGTAGGTTTCCGATGCGTACGGTGCGAATGGTTCAAGATCGTTGACACAGCTAGAAAGCTTGTATAGAGGCAAATACCTCACAGCTTCGACGGGGTCGTTGGAACAATGGTAGTAGTGTAAATAAAAATCAACTGGTCGTGGACTCAGTTGCCAGCGGGTCCACGTTTATAATTTTACCACATATATTTTCTCTGTAATATGTTGGACTTTGTCTGGAACTTTGCATATTGAATATAGGCCGGCAGTTTGGCCGGGAAGTTTAATCACGTTTCGGTTCCAGTCTATAAATTTCCGAACAACCAAAGCCAAAAGGTCGACAGCGTATCTTGTTTAGATTCTATATGGATATTAATATTTGACGTCCCATCAAGGTAATCACATGCTTGTCTGTTCTTCTCTATGTTAAAAGACCTACTTTGGGTTTTGGGACTATTCTCTTTCCAGAAATTTATTGTGAATTCGTTCAACGCCATCTATTTACGTAAATGTAAACTTTCAGATGAGAAACCGGTGCTTTACTTGTACGCATCAAAGGTTTTTAAGTGGGACACGAACGACTTCAGTAATTTCAAGACGTTTCTGAACACGGCCTATGTTCTATTCACGCTGTTCGGTATTCCGCTCATGAGTAAAGTGTTTAAGCAGCGAGATACGGTACGTATTTTAGAACTAGAAGTTTTATCAGGTTTATGATTTCTTATCATGCACACAAAAAGTATATTCTGACACTTAACCGCCCTTCATTTAAATAAACTACATTATGATATAATCTAGACAAAAACTCAATAAATTATATGTAAGTTCCCTCACTAAACATTGTCGATTATAACTTATTTAAATACTGTACCCTGCCAACTTAATTATAATATACTAGCTGTGCCAGCGCCTTCGTCCGCGAGAATCGTTATTTTGGGCATTCAAATTCGTTTTTGCAAACCCCTTCATCTTTATAAGCTTAAGCTACCCACGACGTCGGTCGCGACCCTTCCCGTCGTTCCTACAAGGTAATCTTAAAAGAGAGGGATATAGCGTTGCGGACTCTTTTTTAATCATTTGATTATTTTTTTTCACATTTCTCGCTGTATATTCGCTTGTATTAGTCACAGGGCAATGTTTTATAGCCCTTCCTCGATAAATGCTCTAACCAACACAAAAATATTTTTTCAATTCGAACCCGTAGTTCCTGAGATTAACGCGTTTAAACAAACAAATAAACTTTTCAACTTTATATATTAGTATAGATAACAAGAGAAATTATAAAGTGTGTAAAAGTTCTTTTCTTATTGAAACGTATCTTAAAAAGCTGGTTTTCAATGTCTATTTTTTTTTAAACACTTTAACGGTTTAAAACGCGATATTTTAGTTAAACTTATTAGAAAGTGATTTTTAACTTCGGCCCGACGTTTCGGATGCTTTGCAGCAGCCGTAGTCACGGGGAGTCCGTATCGCGTTTTAAACCGTTAAAGTGTTTTATTTAAATGTGTACTTCTCGCGTAAACTATAGACAGTATTTAGCTATTTTTATCTTATATAATAGAGTTAAAATATTAAAATCATTGAAATGAAAATTTTACATTGACACCCACCGACTCGACTGAATTTCATCAATTTTGTTCAAGCCATTTAGATCAAACATCCATCTATCTAGAGACAAACGTTTTTATTGCTAGCCTAATGATGTTTCAGGTAATAGTAATGATGGGTGCAGCGGCCCATATGTGCGGTCATCTGATATATGCGCAGGCGACGGTCGGGAGCACCATGTATATAGGAGCGATGGCTGCCGCGTTAGGACCCTGTATAGTCTCCTTAATCCGTTCTATGGCTTCCAAAGTCCTTACACCAGCGGAAAGAGGTATATTAAGAAATAATGTAAGTATAATCGATGTGACCTAAAAAATTTATTTAATTTTGTGTGTCTATGTATCCTGAGTTAATATCATCTAAGTTGGTGACATATCCCAGCCATGTAATATATAAGCAAGTTGCGTTTTCGCCTTATTGGTTTTGAAATTCAGAAAATAATAGATTAAAACCGAAATGTGATTAAATACTGTCTATAGTTTACGCGAGTAGTACACATTTAAATAAAACACTTTAACAGTTTAAAGCGCGATATATTAGTTAAACTTAATACGCAAGTGTTAAGGTTGAAATTACATTGCGCGAGAGGTGCATGTATCAATAAGTTGAAAAAATTCGACGATGAGGTGTAGGACTCGGTAGCTCAATTGGTAGAGCAACAGCACGGAAAGCTGACGATGCCGGTTCAAGTCCTGCCCGAGTCGAAAATTTTGTCAATTTATTTTCGATATTCAAATTATATACTGCCTTCATGTGCAAAAACACGTGAAAAATATTAATGTTTTCAAATGATTTTTAACTTCGTTTGAGTCTCCCCGTGACCACGGCTGCTGCAAAACATCCGAAACGTCGGGCTGAAGTTAAAAATCATTTTCATACAAGTTTAACTAATATATCGCGATTTAAACCGTTAAAGTGTTTTATTTAAACGAAATGTGATTACTTTAGACCTTTCTATGTATGACCGGAATTTAAATTCAACATCCAAACTTTCCAGACAAGGTTTAACATGTTTCATAAAAATGATACATTTTAGAAATATGACCTGGTGGGATAATCAAAGCTACGAGCCGACCGTACCGATGGTAGATCCAAAGCAAACATAGGTCGACAGCGCATTTTGTTAAGGTGTTATATTGCTGGGGTGTTACACCTACCCTCAAATAAACCCCATAATTGCCTTTCCTCCTCTAACATAAAAAGTATTTCATTTAAATTTAAGAAACATACTGTCAGTAGTGTACGCGAGTAGTACACATTTAAATAACGCACTTTAACTGTTTAAAATGTGACATCTATTCGTTAAACTTATTTTAACTACGGCCCGACGTTTTCGATGATTCGCCATGGTCACTGGGAGAATTAAATTTAATTATTTTTACTTATAATTTCGCGTTAAACCGTCAAAGTGTTGAAATTTAATAAACATGTTAAATTTTAATTTGGTATTTCAGGTGTGGCGTTTGCCTTTCTTTCCGTGATGGAAAACGCTGTGGGCATGTTCGCGTCCGTCGTTTACACTCAAATCTATAACGCAACATTGGGAACACCTCACATAAATTCCATATTCTACTTCACTATGGCAACACAGGCGGCCGTCTTCATGTTGTCATTGTAAGTATATTAAATGCTGGTAACATTAGCCATTACATGAATATAAGATAGCTGAGACTAAAAATAACATATAGATGTCCTATATGCCATACTTTTATTTGAGATTCATTAAAAAAATATCGATGCAATAATAATTGAATAATCGATAAAGATTTTTTTTGAAGGGAAAAGTTCTTCCCTTTAAAGAGTTAAATTAAAAATAGATTTCAAATTGAAAAAACTACGACACGGTTAGGACTTGAATCGACATTCACAGTGTTTCGTGCTGTTGCTCTAACGAATTGTTTCAATTGATACAAGCACCTCTTGCGCAGCAACGACAACCTTAACATTAAGGCGTGTCGTTATTTTTTTATTTAGAATCGATTTTAAATTTATTTAGTGCCATCATGTGCGACAACATGTAAAAAATATCAAATTATTCTAACTGGTAACATTAATTAGAAACTTAATCCGAAAATGTGGTGCCAAATTCAGGTGCCAGGGCAAATTTTAAATGCTTGAAGTTTCTGTACTATCAAAGTCTAAATTTTACCAGATCGTGTTAAGTCCCGTTATCCTTCGAGGCATGGGGCCCACATTTCTGTGTTCGTTTTATTTAAACTTCTATTCCATCCAACAATCTATTGTCACCCCAGGATTCGAACCTAAACCTCTCGCGCCTATCTCCACGTAAGGCCACATGGCTAACCATTTAGCTACAGAGGCGGGTATATACGTGTAATACATATTGAAAACAGTTTTAACGGTTCAAAATGTATTGAGCTTTTCTGCAACGTTGATTCGTAGTTAAATTTATATTTAAATTGCGCCATTTAAACGGTTAAAAAAGTTCTATTTTAATTAAGATCAAATCTATTTACCTTTTACTTTTGTATCATTCTTTATCTTATGTAATGATAAATAAATAAAATAATTTTACCCACTTTTCAGTACAATGGAGATACTATTGAAGGGGAGTACCTTGGAAAATCAAGACGAACAAACCGAGAGACGTATGTCCGAAAGTTCTTGATGATATAAAGTAGATTTACATTCATGTATATATATAAATATATCAATTATAAAATATGTCTCAAAAGATAACGCACATTTAAGGCCTAACAGACCTGAGAAAATATATTTACTATAAATAAAAATCTATTTTCGGTTAAAAAATCATGATTTCAAAAATGACACGTGTGGGACTCAAACCCTCACTGGATCTTTGTTGTCGGTTTGAGTCCCGATCAGGTTTCGTTTTTATTTATTAATTTTAATTAAACTTAAGTTTCAAAGTCGAATTGATTTATTTATAGAATCGTTCCAATAGGTAATAAAAACGATAGAAATATATTTATAGTGAATATGTTATATTTACGAAGAGTAATATTAAAAATACTTTGAGGGTTTAATACGCGATATATATGTGTTCTAAAATGCCCGGAAACATCGTATTACTATGACTTAAAACGGTTTCTTGAGAGCGAGTAAACTGTTATTGACAAAGAAATCACGTGAAACAAGAACACTGAAAACAAGACAAAGAACACACCGGAAAAGTTACTTATTTAAGTTCCTGTACCGGTAAAATTATTTTTTAAAGTAAGAAAAACTCCTGCAAAATTCTTTCTATAGCAGCAACTACCACTTTGCATTCATATTGTATTTCTTTAACGTAGTTAAAATTTATTTAGTAATTGTGTAATAATTCATCACCAACTTTATAACAACAAATATTAGCATTTATTTTTTCATAGAACCTTCTTGTTGTGTGCTAATCCTGGCTGGATACAATAACATATAAAAATACTTTGTCTCCTAAAAAATATATATATCGAGAATTTAAATCACTAATGTAATCATTTTTTTCGTCGCAATTTTAATAGAAACACATAATGGACATTCCATCCATTTTAGGCCATCGGTGAACAGTTGAGAATTCTAAAAATACATTTTAGAAAGGGATTTTTACAATTTAAATAATTGTAGAGATATAACACAATATCCTACTTATTTCTAAGTTTTGTGTAATATAATATTGTGTATTTAAAAAATGAAACTTAAACATGTTTATATTTTACATCATAATAAAATACCGTTTGTTGTCTATGTATAGCCTAAGAGACTATGAAGGGTGGGCATTTCTCATCGTACTATACGATATGTATTATAATATATAATGCAAACTACACGACCGACTTCAATGTACTATATTTTTTTTCGACTTAGTAAATAGAAAAGTGTTATTTTTACATTTTGAACGAAATACTACGTCCATAATAGTTAATATATAAGTAAATTTTAAATTCAATAAACAAATAATTATTCTTTAATATTTAAAATATAAAAAAAAAACTTTACAATTTATATATATATTTATTTTTTATATATAGTTCTGCTCAATTGCTGTAAGTATTTTTTAAATATAATAATTAATAGTAATTATAAGTGCATTATATATCACGTATATTTAGGCAGATTACAATTTAATAATGTCAGATTATAATTGTAATAGTGTCATTTGTAACGGTTTTATTTAAGTACGGGACCCTCCGTGCGCATGTCTGATTCGCACTTAACTGGTATCTATGGAATGTGAGTTTAACGAAATAGTTTACAATTGTCACATTTGTTAATATATTTTGTACTTATAAGATTATGTCTCATTTTAATATTCGTACTCATTCCATTGATTGTGATTATTGATATGTTCCTAAATATAATACAAATAGTATTAACCTGGCATTTTATTTTGTTCGTCACCGCCAAGTTGTATCCCTAGAGCACCCTAAACGTGGCCAATGCCTAACTGGGAAACTGGCATGGCAGAAATAAACTTATAGCAATACGGTGGTTGCATTTGCCATTCTACACTACGAGCTTATAATCCGAAATCGATGAAGATTATATGAAATTCAACGTCGCGTTCGGTGCGAAAGGTTTGAAATTCGAACGTTATGTACATTTTGTTTCTCGTATATTTAGTGAACTATCATCGCAACTAGCAGGTTCTGGGTTTGAATTCTGCAGAAAAAAATAATTTTAAATGAACTCGAGAAATTGATTGCGTGTGGAACTATATTTTAAAGGTATGAAGACTTTTTTAGGGAGAACACCTACCACCCATTTACGGTCAAGATTTCCAGACGAAACGACTTCGGACAAGTTAGACCTCGGAGATCGAACCAACGACTCGTTGATATAATTTTCAATGATTCATATGACTAATACGAGTGATTCATTATAGATTTGATTTAAATTATGGTTTGACAGGGCACTTCGAAATTAGATAACTGTCAGTAATAAAATAGATTGGAGAAAGGGGAAGTAGAATAGGGGTGTTTTTTGTAAAAAAAAAATTACTCGGTGAGTGATTGTACTTCTACAAAATGTCAACAACAAATATACTAATATACACTGTTAACTTTTTATAAAATAAAATTAGATAATTATTTATTAAAAACAAATGGTTTTTATTAAGATTGTCTTCAGGATTTAGATACAGGTATACATTAATTAAAGGCTATTAAAATTTGATCCGAATTTTGCGTTGGAGGTAGTAGCTACACAAATTAGTTGATACATAACAAATAGTGATATTTACTTAAAAATGTTCGGTTTTTTAATTATCGTAATAGAGAGTTTATAGGTACTGTAGTTAAATTGTTTGTTGACGCGTATAATTTAAATAATTATTCTTTGTTACACACAGTAGTTTGGAGCAAAGGCAAAATAAAGCAAGCCAAATTTCTAGCAAAATACCTGACTGCAGTAAGCTTTAGAATAATGTTCAGTGAGCTTTTTGCATTCATTTTGGGAATGTGAGGCTTCATCACCTTTTTTCTGATGCAAAAAAATATTTAAACAACATTGCCTAAAAATAACAACTTTTAAACGGAACTAACGCGAATGTTTTTCATCAACTATAGTCATGGGAGAACCAGCTGGTACAATGCATCCAAACCGTCAGATCATAGTAAAACATTTCGAGTTTTAATCTAGTTAAAAGGGTCTCATTTAAATACAAACAGTGCGCCTCGGGTATTTATTAGTATTAAAAAAAAACATTTCAGAAGTTATACAATTCCACACACACACACACACACACTTCCAAACGTCTTCTTAAATTTTTACGAGAGTTTAATTAAATAAGTTAGTTTACAAACGATAATATTTAATTATAAAATGAATAAATTCCTTAAAAGCACTTTTTAGCTTTGGAAGTTCTAATTCTAATTTTTTATTTGTCCAGGAAGGTTTTGGAATAAATTGTTTGTTTATTTCGTAGATACTATAATTTCTACGTGTTCTAGGTATAATTTCTAGGGTACAAAATTATTTCCTAGTATACAACCAGGTAAATTCCTTTTCGTGCATATGCTCGCCGTTATATCTCATGTCAAATCGATACAACCTTTCATAAAGTGACGAAGTTGTCAACTAATTCGGCATAGTATGGTGTCACAACATTTTTTCTAGATAATACGTTCTACAAAATCGTAGCACATTGTTTTGTTCTATAATCAAAATATTTCGCAGCGCGTGCACCGAAAGGCGTACAATAGCAATTTTTTTTACACAATAGATTTCGTTTAAAAGTTTTCGTAAGGATCCTTAATCATTTCTAGCAATGAATAGTTTATTAGTAAAAGATTTTTTTTATCGACTCCATAGTATTAGAGTTTATTCATTACAAACATACTAATCTTTCGTCTTTGTGTTAAAAGTATGGACTCTAAAAGAAGCATATTTGATCACGTGTGTTTAATAAGAACAACTGAATGAGTTAACCTCACGTACCAAGTATTTATCGGTATAATCCGATCTTGTTAATAGTTTATCAGCCTTTTTCAAGGCTTTAAAAAAATTTGCATACATATAGTACATATCTTTCATCGCTAGGGTGGGACTAGAGTATTCTCGAACCACCTCTTCAAATTTCAAATGGAAGAAGTGATTCGGAGTAGTCAAGTCAAAGTTACATTGGTTTCAGTTAGTACTTATGTAAAGTGGACAATACTTTGATTGCATGATCTACTAAGTTTTAACGCCATCTAGGAAAGAGACAGTTAATTAAAATGTCATACTTTGTAAACCGATAGAATTTTTTATCTTATGGTTCACTTAAAGGCGTAGCGGCGCGTTGCGTTAAGCACAGTCCTGGGTTTGAATTCTGGGTAAACAGTGAACTGCTCAACTACTTGTTAAAAAATGCAATTGATCAGAAAAATGGAAATATTCATTGTATTCAACATCGAAACGAACTGCTGTACTAAATACTTTCGAACGGCGAACGTTGAACGTTGAATTCTAATGTATTTTTTTTTCGCCAATTAAAATTACATGTTTATATTATGCAGACATGTTTCAGTCTATCCGTGGTACACCTATTCAACACACAGTACTATTACTAAAAATTTTCTGATCAGATCAACAAAAGTCTGGTTAGTCTATTGGTTAGTAGGCTTGACTAAGAATCCCGGGTCAAAAAACAACGCAGAGGTGACAGTTGGTTGTATCATTATCATTATACATATTTCGTTTGTTTGAGATATTGCCAATTATTAGACAAACAAAGTGAAAATTATACAGTTCGTATTATTCTATCAAGTTTGCAGTGCGAGTTTCTTTGTTTTACGAGAATGTGTGAATAAAGACGATTTTGAGTTCAGGTGTTTTGTGCTTGTCAACAAGTGTCTTGCGTTCTACCCGCATTATCAATGTCGTTATTATTAGTAACTTGAGAGGAAAAAAGCTTTATTACGAGATAAGCGATTCGAAGCGTTGAATCTGCAAAAATTTATAAAGATGTTTGGGTAACGTTCTTAAAAATATTGTTAAAACTCAACAAATATTGCACACAACGCCATCTAGTGGCTCCTTAATTAACTTCTTTAACAGATCGATTGAGCGTTTGATCCATCGAGAAAATGCATTGTGTGTGTTTTTTGTAATTGCTACAGATGGCGTTAAATGCACAATGTAATATTTACCTATACAAGAATTGCCCGAAAATATCTCGATTTTAGCAGACTTAACTTTAATCGACGCCCTTGCCGGTCTGCATTATGAGTGATTTGGCCTCCTCGAATGACTTTTGTTGTTTGCTTTTGCTCCATCGTCAGAGTCATTTGAATGCTTCAAACAGGAAATATATTGTAGATCTGAAATCAGCTATATCATTCATTCTTAAGTAGAATGAAAGATGTGGCGACGCTCGAAGAGACCGTATGCCAACAGGACACAATATATCAGCATAGAATGAATGAAGAAGTTGAATCAGTAAATAGACGCCTTCTTGATTTCGACCGTCTCGTCTTCGTTTCTCCGTCTCATGACTGAGATGGAGATCACGGGAGTTTCAGAAACGGTGAAAATAGCATGTTGCAAATACATTAGCCAAGACAATAGCATATATATATTGTCTTACCGTGCCACTTTTCTTAATACAACAAGCAATCAAAGCGATTCACGGGCGGCCAGGCACCTCCGCCCGCGACATCTTTACGTACGCACACTGTGATTGCGTGATAATCTGTTTAAGGCGCGCGTGCGTCGGGGGGCTGACATATAAATATTTTTACATACACGAGCGACATTAGGAATTTTATCGCAATACTTTTCATAGCACGGTAGAACGCTTTATAATGCAATTGGAGCTTTGCGTGGTAAGAGTGAGTTTATGTAAGGTGTGATCCCATCATAAACATAAATATAAAAAAGTGGAGCCGAGTACAAAAGAAAAATTGCGATTTGCTTCGCCGTAAAAAGAATGGAGATCGAAATAGTGCCAAGTTCTATGCAAAATCCAAGTATGTACTTATAGGAACAAAAAATAATATTATGTTTTAATAAGCAAAACACCGTCGGATCTTGGTTAAAATAATTTATAGATGAATTTAAGTAATATACTTCGCGTTTTAAGTAATTAATATGCTACCTTTTTTACAGTTTGCAACCAGTATACAAGAGGTGCGGTGGCCATGCTGGGCTCTGTTCCATCAGACTCCTTCGACACCCTCCACTCGTATGCTAATACTTTTCAAATGCCTTTCATCACGCCTTGGTTTCCTGAAAAGGTAAATACTTATAGCCAACCTCTTTTATACATATACGTTAATTTTCGTCCAGAATATGTCGGGCCAAACACATAGTTTTAGTGCACAATTATTCATTGGAGTAGGTCTAGTTTCTGGACCTCCTCGGGACCCAAAGAGGAGATGAGATTAATTCCCTATGTGGACGAGCACACATTCGCCAATATGATTATCTACCCGTCTCTTTCTGACAAACCTGAAATATCTTGCGTTAAATAAGGAAAGAATATAATAGTTATCTCCGTCAGTGGTTATTATTACCTTAATTTTATTTTTCGTTTGGAAATCTGGATATTAAAATTTCCATTCGGGTCGTGAACCACATATAAAGAAGCCGTGAAGGTTTAACGCATATCAGTTTCATTGCATGGATTTTTAATTATCCAAAGCTAGAATAGGTCCACTGATGTGGAGCATCCAGCCAGGATTTTATATGACTGGGATATTCCACCTTCCATTAAGTGAACCCCAAGCATCATAAAAACTAAACCATAACTGTACTCTTCTATAAAATGGCATGGCAGAAATAAACTTGTTACCTGCAAAAATCTATTTGGCCAGTGTAGCATATTAAAGTTTATACCTTGCTGGCTCGAATCCAGGGATTCGAGCTGTTGTGTTTTTTCACATTAAATTAATATTGTAATAAAAATATTTCCACAAAGATAAAAAATAATTTTGTACAAATTTAAAAAAAGCAAAAGTCGTTGAGTTCACGTTTTTGAAACAGCTCAACCTAATGAAAAATTCTTTCGCCTAAGCTACTATGTCGATTTTAATACAATTTTGCCAATATGCCAACCACATTTTATAAGTGTGTATAAGCCAGAATGTTGTTCCTTTGGTTTGGACATGTGAGCATTCCTATAGATTTATAATTTCCGACAGGTAGAGGAGAATACAAGATAATAAATGAAACAAAGATTTACCCTGATCGAACTAGATATTTATTTCTCTAAGGACAAGATACACCGAGTTGAACCTTATCTAACGAGTAAACCTTAAACTAACGAGTATACTGGCACATATTCCAAATGTTTCAAACATTAAACGGCTGCACGTACTCATAAATTCAGCAGCTATAAATAGCTTAATTTATAATGGACAGTTTGAGATTCTTAAGCTAAATACACAGAAGAGACTGAAACCTATTTCCCCGTATGGGCCATGGGACGAACACATTTTAGTGCCTCTTTCAATGATCGCTTTGTTTACTTCAGTTAATCAGACTTGTGCCCTGCCCGACCCAAACAATGTATTATGTTCCGGGATCAAAACCAGGACCTGTCGTGCTAAACGTAATACTAAGCAACACGTTTAACCATTGAGCTATAGAGGTGGTCAATTTTATTACACAAACTTTGAGTAACTTCTAAAATATCACAAATAGGACGAAGAAAGTTTAGAATATATTTGCACGTCTATTTACAGAGTATAATGAATGAATAATCTATGATTTCCTAATGGGGAACATCAATTGCAAGAAGTTGAGCAGTCCGCAAAATCAGCAGACCATTCTACACAGTGAATCTAAACATATATAGTTATATCTTGACACAAAACATCAATGCAATTATGCCTGTATATCTATTGAGATGATCTACGAAATATCTATTGTCGATACCACCGTAAGTGTAAATTGCGTTAGATTGCAAATTATCAAGCGATATAATTTCAAGAGCTTGATCATAGATTGCTATGCTAACTAGCTATACGGTGATAATGAATTAACACAATTACGTTTTAATGCAAATATTTTACTTCCATATCGATCGCGCCTTAAACATCCATATCGGGGTTATCGTCGCCATCTTCCCTGAAGGTAGTTCTCATCTCTCTGACAACTACCGTCAGGATATGGAAAATCTTTTGTCAATATTTCTTGAAGCGGTTGTTGATGACATCCGCCATGGAGAACGCGAGGAGGAGCATAGAGTGGGGGATGAGGCATAGAGCGATGATCTGCGAGAGGCGTCGGGGCTGCGTGAACACTTGGAACGCGTCGTAGAGAGTCGTTTTGCGCACTGGTCATGGCAGCTGGAGCCATTGAGACAAGAGGATCTCGACGGACTCACGGGCGCGGACCAACTCGGCGATGTCGGAATCACGGCCCGGGTACATGTCGGCGCAGTGAGCGGAACCTGTAAATTTATGTTTATTAAAAAATAGGAATACCACCAGCAGGCCGATTCTAGTATTTTAGTGACGTTGCGATCAAGTTTCGATTCAGCGCAAAATGGTAGTCTCCTAAATTCACGTCTCTCTACATTCTCCTAAAGTCACGTAGGTAACTAGGCATACTTTCAACGTTTCAAGTAATAAATACTCTGAATGTAAATTTACTACCAGTTCTCAAATTAAGGGCGTAAAAAAACGAAATAGATACTAGACAACTTCGAGCTTCTTTTTTAACCGATTCATTAAGGCATACAAGTAGTAGAATAACGTTTTACTTAATTCATATTGTTGAATAATAAAAATCGGGTAAAGTCTTTTAATTTATACGGTTCTATCTTTTGTGCACTGAAAACTACATAAATGTTTAAATTTTGACATAATCATCGTGTTTTACTAGTGTTTCATTTGATATCCATATTAAAGGCATTTAAGGAAAAATATGTAATCTGCCATTTTGTATCGGCGGCCATCTTGGATTTATAATGTTTTTGATTTTATTATATTGTATTGTCATCTAAATTAAATGTGTGTGTAAATTTCAGACCAATCTGACAACGGGAAGGTGCTTAAATTTCAATTCAAACACAATTTCGACTCAAATAAATTCCGTACGGGTTGAGCTAAATAAAACCGTTTAAAAATCAAATACTTTTTTCCCTACGTGAGTATAAGAAACATTTCTGTGCCCAGCCCGACCTACAATACGACTTAAATTTACCTTTAACAAATATGGCGGGCGCATCATTGGCCCTGGTCTTCGTCATGCCGAGGGCGTGCCACGGATCCACCGATCCATGCACGTAGACCACTTTCGGAGCGGTGATCTCCATCGCGCCGTACTCGCTGTTAGTCCACTTTATGCCCTTATTTATGAAGTCTTTATTGAACCTAAAATTTTTGCTTGCATAATACATACGATGTTGAAAGGAACTTCATTATAGTTCTAGAGAAAAAATAACGAGAAAGAGATATAATATTGGTGTGGTTGAAAAGAATCTTCTTTTAAAAAAATGTTTTTTTTTTATTGATTACCAAATAATCAATAAGTATCTTGTACTTACTTTTTTCCAAAAATGTCAACACACTGCTGTACGAAGAAGTCTATACCGAATTGGTCTCCGAACAGATCCACCTCTCCAGACGACGTCTGGTAGAAACCAAACTCGGTGCACGTCTGGTATATCCATTGACGACCTAAAAAGAAATATAAATTAAGCTAATGGGTTTGTCATTCACTGATGATGTGCGAAACTTCGAGAACCATTTCTCACTTACGATGGCCGAACAGCTTGAAACCCCGGGCTTTGCAAAATCACCGCAAAGGCCTTTCACAATTACTAAATTAAATTAAAAAATAGATTGAAAAAAATTTACGACACGGGCAGGAATTGCACTGGCATCCAACGCGTGTCCTACGCGTCAGAAAAGGGCGTTTCAACTTCATCATCTATCTAATGTGGGGAGTGCATATTTGTCCCCGTAAATCTTACCGCCCTCCGTGGACGTCCAAGAGATGTTCCTCATTTCGCGTATCATGCTATCGTAGCTATAGTCCATGCATGTCTGATTCGACTTGTCCAGCATTATAGAATTGAATTTGGCGAGCGCCTTCAACGCTGTGTCGTTGCTGTTAATCAGCATGTCACACACCTGGTAAACGGCGTAAACTTAATTAATAAATCTTACCAACTTAGTATAATTATACATGAGATCTATCAAATTAGGATACGACATTCGGAAACCCAGACTGTGTTTGGTACTTGCAGCTGGGGTGGTCGTGGTGGGTGCAGTCAAAATAGTTTAACTGACATATTTAGCGATTTAAACCGTTAAGTGTTTCGTCTAATCTATAAAATATAATTTTTCGGGCTTCGTAACTCACCGTATTGATAGTAATATTTTTGTATTTGGTATTGAGACTCATTCGATTATCCTCGTTGTACTGAACTAGCTCAGCAAAGTCGTCGGCAATACCGTTGTAGAAGTTCTTTATATCATTCTTAGATGCCGTAGAAAGCGGCTTGCAAGTTCTGAAATGCCGAAAAGTTAATTATGCACCAAGGATATTACGGAGGTCGTTTTATCGTAACCAAAGCATAGCCAGAGTTTGTAAAAATAAATTATAATAATAAATTAGGCCAAAGTACACAAAATAGATCACTTTTATTTATGCTAATATTATAAAGCTGAAGAGTTTGTTTGTACGCTCTACGCTTTGTACGTTGTAAGCTCTTGTAATCTCAGGAATTACTTATTTCATATTATTTATGTGTTGCTTGGACAGTATTGAAGAAGGCTATTAAGCTGCTCTTGCTATAGGGCTTGGTTCAAGAAAAAGCAAGGGAAAGCAATAGAGCCGTAAGTAATTAATATCTTCCCTGTTTTTCCACATTTTCTTCATTTTCTTCGTTCCTGGTCGCAACCTGATGTCTTATAGCCTAAAGCCTTTCTCAACAGAAAAATAATTGATTAGAATCAGTAATTCCTGAGATTAGCGCGTTGAAGCGAACCCACGAACAAACCCTTCAGCTTGAAAATATTAGTATAGATGCATTGTCATATCGTTGTTGACAAAGTGAAGTTATATGAAATCGAATAACTACCTCTCGGCGGAATTTAAAATTCTTACATAAAAATTCATATTTATCTTTTTTATTGCCATTCTTCGACAACAAACAATTTAAGCATAACTTATTAGTGCAATTTACATAATTTAGAAATAATAATAAATAGATAAGAAGTAACAATGTGATGTATGGGTAAATAAATTATCGAGTCGCTAAATGTATTGATGTGAGAGTGTGTTCAACATTCTAATATTCATCTAGGGATGTTTCTTTTGAGAACTGGACGTATATGCACTGATAAATACCTGAATTCCTTATCAAGTACCCGTGGGTTGGCATTCATTAAAGCAACAACTTGTTTGTGTCCCGCTCTCACTTTTTTGAGACAATTTGAACTGGTCGTCTTCTCTTGTATGGCGTTAGCGACCACTTCATAGTACTCTAAGAGAATAAAATTTGTTTAATAATTATGAGAGATAACGAGGGAAGACGTAAAAATACCAGGAGGTAATACTTAGTAACGATTATATATGTATGGGAGTATGATAATTATCTTCAAATACTTTAGCGGATATACAGACAAACAAATTAAATTTCAAAACAGAACTTTGTGTTGCTTAATTACTATATGAGATTGAGTGCAGCTTACGTGAGTAGTAGCCATTTAAATAAAATACTTTTAACGGTTTAAAATGAGAAGTGTTTCAGTTAACTAATTTACAATTTATTTGGCATATCATCATCTTTCGGGCTGTTCGGCCGATGTGAGCGAGAAGAGGTTCTCGACGTTTCGCCATCACGTGTGGACGGCATCATCAGGAGATGTTAACTCCTCGATTGCTCGAAGAATTATCTGATTATAGAATATTAATTTTAAGATTCTTGGCCCGAAGCAAAGGGAGGATGGAAGCTGGAGAGTTAGGAAAAACGAGGAGACCAAAAAACTCGTAAACGAACCCAACATTATGGGGGAAGCAAATCCCAAAAACTCCGCTGTGCTGACCATTTGCAGAGACTGGGAGATGATCGGAGTGTCAAGAAAGCGTATATCGGAATTCCAACTGGCCGCTTCCAACCGTCGGCAGGCCAAGATATCGCTGGCAGGACGCCGTGGAGAAGGACCTGCGCGAGCTCAGTGTGGCCGAATGGCGAACAGCCACGCAAGATCGGCAAAAATGGCGCGCTTTAGTTTCGGAGGCCAAGACTCACTTTGGGTCGCTGCGCCAGCGGAGTAAGTAAGTAAGTACATGAGGATACTTACCCTTAAAATCCAATTTAGCCAGCAATGGACCACTTGAGGACACAGAAGCGAAGACAAGATGGGGATATTTTACCCTCAGCCACGCAGCCAGAGACCCAGGGTACGAACCACCAAAGGCCACCCATTTTATCCTACTCGGGTCGAATCCATATTCAATATTCATTGAACTAATGAAATTTGCTACATCTGCTAAAGCCTGGTATGATGATAAGTACTGTAGGTTTTTAGTACTTACATCGCTATAAAAAAATAAAGCATTTCAAAATTATAAAAAAAATATTTTATTGAATCGAAAACAGGTGACAATATCTGTGAGTTATTAGGAAAGAGTGGATCTTTTAAAACTCACGTGTTAAAAAAAAATTTAGTACGTGAGTGTATGGCCACTCGAGACGCATAGAATAAAAGTAGAAACAATAATTATTATCTTATGTATAAATTCATACATACTCTGTCGGATGACTTTCCCCATAGTACCGATGTTCCAACATAATGCACATAGCTCTGAACTTTCTAGCATAGTCTATCCATGTGCCTTTAACCATCCAACGTGGGTCTGCGGGACCCTCACCCCCAACCATAAGGAATACAGGACCGGATTTGTTATCATAAAATGTGTCATTTATGAAGTATCTCTAAAACAAAAATTGAAATCAAAAGTAGGCTTCTTGTTCTTTTGAGTTCTACACCTAAAGAAATCCTACTAACAATTCCCAAGCTTTATGTGTCTTGAGAACCGCAAATTATAGCTGAACATAAAAAATAGTATTTCTGTTGCTTTTATAACACTAAATACTACAAACGTATGCAACAAACAGTATCCTTTATTCTTTAATAATTAATTTTAACAGGTAGTCATGTAAAACAACTGAAAATATATCTTTATTATTAGTGAACAAGTCTCCGATGAAGAATTCCTAACAAGTTATTACTTGTTAGGAATTCTTTATCTGAGACTCTCATTAGTGCTTGGTTTTGGTTTATTAAACTGTGTCATGGAATTTTATAACTAAAATTTCAGCCATTATATCAACTATATTTCAGTACTACTAAAATAGTGTCACTTAGCAAATTTGAAACCAAACCTGATGCCTATCTTATATATCCATTTTTATCCACAATATGCTGTTAATTTTTACTAAGAGCTAGATATTTTTACATGTTACCTACTAAAAGTTCAATGATCTGTACTCAATGTATCACATTTCAGATATTACTTTATCATCATAATACAAGTAAGGTCAGCAAAAAGGTCTACCTATCAGTTTTTAATGGTGATGTGGCATATTAAATATTATTTTATGGTATAACAATTTTTTCTGTACATGTCATAAGAATCTTTATTTTTTTTTCATACTCAACAATTTTGTCTTCTGGATTTAATTCTAAAGATAATCAAAGAAGCTAAATTGAATGTTTATATTATTACATTAAATAAATATTGTTGTTCAACATAGCATGTTATATCTTTCTTAAAATACTTCAAATTGCATTACTGAAATTGGAAAAGTTACTTTTTTCTTTTTAAAGAATAGAAGTTGACATAATCATAGGTGGAACTATATTTTAGTAGGTTCTTTGTCTTCTCCAAAAACAAAAAAACATTACCTGCTTCCATGTTCTAAGGTCTGTAGGTGCAGAGTGGTCCAGCTTTTGCTTGAACCATTTCGCTGGAGGGACCTCTTCGTGTGCAACACCCTGTGGAGCTCCTAAATTACCACCCTTTGCTCGACCCAACCGAAACTGCTTTCCACAGTTCACTTCCAAAAAGGCCGGTATCAAAAGAACGATAAGAAAATATAAACGAAACAACATATTGAAAAATGTTTAAGAAATTACGCCACAATCAATAGCTATTTTAGAAATGTTTTCAATAAAACTTCAATAAAATCACAGTTTTTAATAATGCGCGAATTAATATAATTTAATAAATTTATAATTTGACAGTCCCATCGCACTACTACTATTCTATAAAATAACAAATTATTCTGACTAACAAAGAGCAGTCTTTGTTCTTATAGAATTATTATTATGTACGATTTTTACTTCATAGTTGTCAGCGATTTGTTATTGATTGAATTTTCGTAACTATCAGTTTAAACACAACAAGGGAATTATTTACAGATTATGTAGTACAAAATTTCATGATGTAACCACAGATTATATATCGAACAGTTATTTAATTTTAGTCTGTAGAATTTTCTAGATAATTCTTTACAATAAAATATAATCTATCCATTTATTACATCGTTAATGTTGCCATATAAAAGTATATCCTTGCAGATTTATAACAGACAATAATTATAACTAATGAAAATATTACACAGAACACAACAAAATCGAATAAACCGTCACATGATTACAGAATACATATGAGTAACTACGTCTAACAAAAATAGAAATATTTTCTTCATCAATGATATACGTTTTTACATATATTGTGATGCAGTGTTATTAAGGTTCTCAAGATTGCAAACAATTTTAAATATTATTATCACAAAAAAAAAATTGTATTTTATTCAATCCTTAAGACTTTCTTTGTAACGAAGAGAATTGCATTCAAATCAGTACCAACAAACATCTTCTGACAGTATATATTTAAAGCTGTTTCTGTTCTGGTTTTCTGTTATTCTATTTTAATGCAAGTCCATAATATAAATTAAGCGAAATTTAGGGTTTTGCTCTGGCAACCCGAATGACGAGCACGGAGCGCAGCATACTCGACTAATCGATAGCGGAAAGCGCGACGTTCGTATCGCAGTTCGAAATTCCGCTCGAGCACCCAGCAAGCCTAGTAGGTCTAGGTAAAGTTCAATACTTTGTTCTGGCCTAAGTACTGTGAGATCAACATGGCTCTGTTCAAAATTACATCTTCAAGATTAATTGAAATACAGGTAAGTGATACTAAATTTAATTATTCGCCCTTAAAATCACTTGACTCGGCAGGCAGGTACATAACCTTTTTGACACATTTTCGAATTCGCAGTTATGTAATGAACTATTTTTGGAGTAAAATGCACCGTCCGTGCACTTTTCTGCAACTTTAGCACATGACGTCGTTGGGAAAAACCATCGCGTGATTAATTGGAATGTACATTCGGAATTTAGAGTTTTACATCCAATGAAATATGCCGCTTGTAACGTGCTTTTTGCTCATGAATTTTGTGTTTTAGTTAAGGTAAAAATTAGGTATGAATACCAAAAATATATACCTTTTGGGCAGTACGGATTTTTAAATACCACGCGTTTAACCATTCGCCATTTTTTGCATAAAACCTTAGTTTGGGAACGATGACCATGACCATTTAAAAGTAGTCCTTAGCGTAACATTATTGCCAAAAGGTTTCTTTTCAATAAATAATAATTTATATTTTTGTTATTAACTGTCGTTAATTTCTTAAATAGTCACCTCTAAATTAGTCAAATAACAAAAATCCATGCAAAATCATTTATTGTGTTCATGTATTCTGACACTGATTTTGTAGTTTAAAACAATTGCATCTTAATTGTTATTACTAAATAGGAATAGTTCATATAACAAGAAATATAATAATAATTATTTATGTCTGTAAGGTATTTGCATAAATTACATAAAAATATACATATAAACTTCTTTTAGTTATAATATATCTATTCAAAGTTAAATATTAACAATAACCATTCAAGCTTAAATACTAATTAGTCTTGTGGTCAACCTCAGCGAGGATTCGTTAAATTTAAACCTGTTTTTGTGGTAAAATTAGCAATTTATCATTATAAGTAATCATTTAGACTCTAAGTAACTTACTGAGCCATATTCATAATATTATCTATAACACCCAAAGATTAACCAAAAAAGGATTAAAATTATTTTCTAATGATAAAACTTCCTAACTGTAAAAATTTACTAGAAATGTTAACTAAAGATAAATATATTCAATTACACTTGTAAATTCAGTTTAAATAAAGTGTGAATGTGTGTGGATACATTCTTAAGTAATTTATGCAAAAATATATAAAGAATAAAACTATTATTTCTCTTTGTGGTTGGTGTACTTCATTAACATAATTACTGTAGCGCAGTGTTTTCTGAGACTATTGAATAGACCTAAGAAGGAGACAAATAGGTCATCCAAGAAAGAGAATTATTTTACTAGGCCATTTGTAAGCAGATAATTGTTTACATTAAACACATTGAAATTTTAAGGATACTATCAAGACATTTTAACAAATGCAAGGACAAAAATCGTGATCTTTTTCAATCCTTCATACATATCAGTAAATACTTTGTTTAAATGTTACTGCTTAACCGTTTGGTGAGTAAGTAAGTACGTAAGTGAGATTTGTCTACACTCTAGGGCATTGTAGCTCCTTAACAATTAACTATGAGGCTTCGTCTCGAGGGTGGTATAGACAGAATTGATGAAGCTCAGGGTCAGGTTATCTACGATTAAATGTTTTTTTTTTTACAATTACTTTGATAATAGGGTGTCAGTTTTGCAATGTACTCTGAAGTGGTTGCTCAGTGATAAGAATGCGTGATTATCTTATGTACGGTCACGTGAAATTTTCATTATGTAATTGTTGTTGCTCTGCCAAAATTGGCACATACTACGTGCGAACGTTACCAGGGTTATAAGTCTGCTAACTCATACACCCAGACACCATTGCAATAAACAGGGCTTAAATTGCAATTTTAAAATTTTGTGTGCTCACTGCTTTTAGGTTTAAGTAAACTTTGTAATTTAAATCGTACTTCTGTAATCACGGGATAGACAGACATACAAACATGTTGAATTGAACTTATTACTGTATTGTTTCTATTAGGTTTATTAATTGTATGTTATAGTAAAAAGAAGTGAGAAAGAAAGGAAAGAAAATAATTCGCTTCTGTTAGGCAAGGGCATAGAAAGCATTTACAGCTGCTGTCACAGAGGAAAAATAGTTTTATTTAAATGTGTGTCGCGTAAACTACAGACAATAAGCTTCTATCAGTTATCGGGCTTAGGGCTTTTGTCCCATGCCCCATATATCCTGAAAAGGCTCAAAATATTTATAGATTAAAATTCCATTTTAAATACGTTGCCTTCATTTTAGTGTAATAATTAACATGAAGCGACATACGATCATTTTGAATCACCGCATAATACTATCTTGTCAAGGGGCATATCAATACTATCTCTGCCACTTATCAGTTCGTCACTATCTTTAGTCTTAGCAAAGTTCACGACATTCTTGTCCTCTGTGTCCCTTTTGAGATAATGTTTCAGTCCTTTTTCCTAACTTGTAGTTGTTAGTTATTATTTATTACATTACTATTGAAGTTAAATGGCATTTCGATTTCATGCTGTAGATTTCTGAATATCCCAAGCCTTAACAGGTCGACAGCGCGTCTTATGGCGTCATATGGCTGGGGTATTTTAACTTCTATAAAGTGAAAATCATGCTTATCTGCCCTCTTCTATCTAAAAAAATAATATACTTGCGAAATACTGTCTGTAGTTTACGCGAATAGTACACATTTAAATAAAACACTAACTGTTTAAAACGTCGGGCCGCAGTTAAAATAATTTTCATATACGTTAAACTGCGCTTCTGTACAATTTTTTTTGTAGAACCCTCCTATCTATCCCAAACGTGACTAGTCTAATAGTGACGATCTAATATTTTTTTATCCAAATTCTAGATACTAAAAAGTTTAACTTTACTTATTAAGATTATGCCCTGCACCTTTAATTTAACGATTACCTAAACTGTTCTCTTTTTGGCTTACAACTCTTATTAAGTTATTAAATGAGGTTTTCAAAGCAAGAGACGGATAGTTATATCTCTTATTTGTATTAGTAACAATTAGTAAATAGACATAAGAATGGAACAATATTATATTATCTTGGTAGTTAGTTAGGTAGTAATTAAACTGTGATAAAGTATTTCTAGGTAATTATTGATGACGCTTAATTGAAACAAAATTGTTTATTAATTAGAATTTTGATAGAATCCTTGAGAGATTATTATTATAATTTAGTGACGTTTGTAATGGAAGGAAACGTATTCTATAATTTTATATGACGGAGAAGGATAGACTTTATTGATAGAAGAAAATATCCCAGCTATAGAAAATCTACATAGATTTCGCTTTAAGGTTTTCCATGTACGTAGTACCTATTTCAAAATTAACTTAATTAGTAGATCTACAAAGGGATATGTTGGTCGTGGATTCGATTATTTCATAAAATAAAATACTTTATCAGTCCTGTACCGTAATGTCAATTCAACTGATACGCTGAGTAAACGAACACACTATCTTATTATTTATAATGTTACTGTAAATATCAAAAGATCAAAGATTTAATTATTTTTTATCAGCCGCTAAGCTCATGTTGTAGTGACCTATAAAAATAATTATAAACAACAATGTACTTTGGAACTGTTGCAGTTTTGTCAATAACTGAGATACGAAAATTTAAATCTAGAGTGTCATTTACACAACAGGTACATAATTGCACATTACTAATAAAGCTTTTGTCTAAAAGCGAAAGCAGATAAAGGAAATTAAAAAAAAATGGCTGCATTTCAAAAGCCATCTAGTTTTTCCCTTTTCAATTATTTTTCTTTTATATGTTGCTTGTTTTACTGACAAGCGCGATGATTTAAACAAAAAAGTTTCCATTCAACATTCGTCGAGAAAATGCGCTCTTTCCTTTATCTTTTATGAGACTAGTTGTGCCCGCGACGTTCTTTCGTTCATATTTCTTTGGTTCTTGAACCGTTTTTGCAGCGTATTCGACGGAAGGTCTCAAAGATGAACATTCATCCTTATTATCCACATTTCACTCTGTTTCTTCGCTCCTATTGACCGCAGTCTGATATTTTATAGCCTTACTCATTAATTGATATATCAAAACGAAGAAATAATTCAATTCCAAACAGTGGTTCCTAAGATTAGCATGATCAAACAAACAGTGTTTAGCTGTATAATGTTATCATACATAAATAACGATGTGTTCAGTAAAATGTATTTTTCCTAGTACAACCGAAAGATTTATTGCTTTACAAGGCCCTTTATAATTCTTCCAGTGCCTGCAATTTTCTTACAGTAATAATTGTGTTTTCGTGTTAAAACCACGTTCAGCTTGCATAGGCAAAACTTAGATAATATACACGTCATCGCACGGCTAACTCTAAGATGGCAACTGTTCTCATCCCGCCATTTCGTTATTAAGGAAAACAGTCATTGCTCTATGATAATTGATAACGTTAGCTCTGGCGTGACACAGCACGTTTAAAATTACGTAACGCGTAACCAAGGTTACCTTGAGAAGCGCCACTATTTTGGCGCCCGCGCACTTTGTTTGCTTCGTGAGTTTACGTCACATGTTTTCTGCAGATTTCGAGTCATAATTTTCTTTTTCTCTCGATTAAGTTTCAATTATACATACATAAACTGCCCGGAAGAGATTTAACTCCTTGTATGTTGTGTATAGATTAGTGTGTACATCAGTAAAATAAAAAATATTTTATTATTAATAATTACGTTTAACTATATCTCAATCTTGAACAACGCCCCAAACTGTCACTTGTCTCTAACCCATATTTACATAGAAAGCGAAAGAAAACCCTTTGTCTGTCCCTAGTTCTAAGTCATTATGGCTTTAATAAAATACTTATTATGTAAATATTTTTGCTCTGTGGTTATCTGATCTTCTTCCTAGTAGGGGTAGTATAAGGGGATTGCAAGGCTCTAAATTTAAGTACGTATTTTAAACAACGATAAGTGTTGCCCGGTTACTTGTATTTGTAATATGCGTCATTTGTGCTATTTCGTTTAGTAGCAGTTAGTTAAATACGAATCTAAGTTTTTCCACATTTATCTTACGTTACTCAGTCTTTGTCTTGAATGTCATAAGCAATCAAACCAAAATGATATCGATTTACTTTTGTAAAGCAAAGTTTAAGATTTATCGAAAGAGTGTTACATAAACATTATTTTCACGATAAAAATCTACTTGATCAAATAAGAAATAAGAGGTCTTGTTCTTGTTGTTGCTAGTATGTTTAAATGTAGTATTTTAACGAAATAGCTCTACATATTGTCTGTGGTTTACGCGAGTACTACACAGTAGTATTTCGTATGTTTAACAGTTACAGCGTTTTATTTAAATAGCGTCACGTTTAGTGGAATCTAGTAATTTCACAGTCTTTTATGGTCTGTCGATTTCATTTTCCTAGCTATCACCTCATGAATTAGCAGTAATGGTTTCCATTGCGGATCTCAAAGCAAACATAATATAATACCTCAAAAAATTCATGTTTCGTAATTATTCAAGACTTCCTTTATAGAGGCACACTATATTTAAATGTCTTTCGAGAACGGATGTCAACGATGTAGTTTAATGAACCTGAGTCATCAATATGCATTGAGTGATAAACAAGTATTTAAGTAGAATTTTAACATGAAGAAGTAGTTCTTAATCCGAGATAAGATGGAAAGAGGTAAGAATATAGATCGAAAGCGAAAGTTTTATTTCATACTTTAAATAACAATATCTCAATTATTACTACTATTTCTAAAGCATTGTTGACTTCAGTAGGGTTGTGGTGGTTAAATGCGTGAAAGGAATATTGAAATGCCGTCCGGGTGGGCGGTTTTTATCTGTGGAGTCTTCGGACCAAGAAAAAACTTACTGGCATTTGCGGTGTCAATCTGAATTTTCCGAATATTCAAAATAGTTCGATGGCATATTTTGTTGAGATGTTATAGGCTTGGGTATTTCACTCCATGCTTGTTTGTTCTCTTCTTAATAAACACGTCTCAGATAAGATTAAAAGCCTCTGTTAAATATGTAATTTAAGGTTTGGCAAAAAAAATTGGACGCCAGCTCATTGCTAGTTCTTCTCGTTCGTTCCCTTAGATTAACTGGTACTTTTGGTTTTAAAGAATATTGACGATATGTGCTTAGTTTTCTATTGAAGTACATTTTATTTAATATTCATTTGAGATTGGATTGGTGATTGACCCGATCTGGTTAGGTTGTTTGTACGCGAGTAATTCATTATAAAAAAATATATTTCCTCGTGTTAAACCGTTAAAAACTGTTTTATCTAAATGGGTAGTTCAAAGCAATCTGAAATCAGATTGTTAACCGCTAATCAATGTAGCGATGTCTCAATGATCTAGCGGAAACGATTGTCCAATCAATTGATTGAGCCGCGTCGAGTTAGCCCATTGTGTTTCAACAATGTCAATTGTTTAACTCATCTGACCTGTCTGAATATGATTTCAAAGCGATTCCGAAGCATGCGCTGGTTTATGTATACTTATTGTACAGTCGGGTGCGAAAAGTGTTCTATTTTTAAATAAGTCTTAAATGTTTAGTCGGTTGTAAAAATGGTATCAAGATGTAATTTTGCTACCTGGCCCACGGCTTAATCGCCTACCGCCATGAATTTAATAAAGATAACCCAACTGATAGTAAAACGTTTCAGTTATGGAATTCAAACCTCGGACTGCGCTAACCGCTAGACCACAAAGCTGCTATAGCTTAAAAGTAATATAAAGCAAGAAATAGAATTGAAGGTTTAAAGATAATTCTAAAATTGTCTCAACCTGTACTTTATCCTCAATACAATTATCCTTGTTATTTCCACGTAAACGACCTCTGAATAAGGTCAAATTAAAACCTAGAAGTCAGTCCCTAGTCAGGCCTCTAAAGATTTAACCTAATAAGATTTCGTCGTTTTCCACCTCGTTGACCTTCGTTGAAACCGGTTTTTATTAAGGTCAACTCTCGTTACTAAGTCGTGTCATTACCCGCGCATGACATAATATGATGTAATATTATTTTAGACCTAACTCATGGCCTAATAAGGTTTTAAAGACGCGAATGCATGACCTAGATTTGACTTTGTTTAACGCATGTTTCACATACTCCAGCTTCGCGTTCGCTCAGGTTGCCCCAAGACATTCCATAGGTTCCAGGTGCTCCAGAACCACTACTGGATCCATCTAGTGCATATGGAATGTTAATCTTGACGCCGACCTTAAGTCGGTACTTCGAACGTTTGAACGCATCTGAACCCACTTTGGCCAAGATCGCCAGTTGCACAGTGTCCGATAAACCTCGCTAGACGAGGCCAAGAAACGTCAAACCAAAGCACTAAGACCCGACGCGATCCGCTGGCGCCAACAAAGACAAGGTCCCTTTTTCCGTTATACCCCTCACTTAGATAAGCATCCGTCCAGCTCTATAAGCGCATATTGCGGTGGTTCAAGCTGAGCCTTATACCCCCACGGGGCATCGTTGGTCTTGCCGTTTCAATCAAAACATAGACATTGATTAAAGCCAATGGTAACGTAACTTAAATCCTAAACTAGTAACTCGAAGTAATAATACTAATTTTATATCGTAAGTGGTGGATATTGTAGTTTAAAACTTTTTGGGGATATTTTCAGTTTAACTACGAAAGACAATACGTAAGTACATACATTAGGAATTAAGCTAACCATTCTTGAAATTATCAAGGAAAGCTTCAAGATCTCACTAGAATTTATTTAAAAGTCGGAAAATTGAGTTTTATTACAATAGGGAGATATTTTTTGTGATTTGTATTTTGCGTTATCTGCAATGTCGTCGTAGACATTTGTTTTTTCTGCTTAACCGTCAAGTACGTAGTTATGAATTCATATAGTTAAGAGGAATAATAATTATTAATAATATTTTATGGTTAACTTTATAAATATAATATTATCGTTCATTTGTATATCATTACTTTTATATAATTAAGATTTTTCCGCCTAGAGTCGTCGTTAATTTTATATCACGTACTTAAGAATGGCCCTTCTGATTACTTCAGCTTTATATGAGGCTTCTTTTTACGAGAACAATTATTACGTCATTATATGCTTGCACGTGTCAAGAAGGCGGCATTGGTTTGATTCGTCTCGGTATATGTTGCCTATGTTATATATTGCTCAGAGAATTCCGACGTTAGGGCATTTGTCTATGATATACTTATCTTAGAATAGAGCTAAAGAAAAATAGACTGACTCAAAGTTACGTATTACCTAACCGTATTTATAATTAAGTACACAACAGTAAATACCATATCAGAAAATTAAAAGTATTTTATACTAGAAATATAATCTAAAATGTCTCTGACAAATCTCTATGATTTTTATATCTTGTATATATACATTTTTATTTTATGTTTTATACATTAAATAAAAATAGCTTTTGTTCGTCAAATTGATGACGCTAAGAATGAAGTGAAAGAGAATTCTTGTTTTAAATGTATATTATATGTATCTGTACGAAAACAGTTCTGAAGTTTTGTTTTAATCTTTTGAATACAAGTTATTCTGGCCATACAGTTCCATATCTTTATGATCTTTCTTTCAGAAAATATGCCCAACGGCAACTATTCTGCTTCGCAACCTGAGCGCTGAGAGCACGAACCTCAAAAGCGTCCTTCAGGAGAAGATTCCAAAAGAACAAGAGAAAATCCGCGAATTGCGCAAGAAACATGGTGCGACCAAAGTTGGCGATGTCACCGTGGACATGGTAGGTTGAATAGTAATCTTAGCCTACTTATGTTATATATACTAAGAATTTTGCTTATTCATTTTATCCATGGAGGAGACAGGGGATTCAGTTCTCTCCAGGACAAAAACAACCTATCAAATCTGATTTGAAAGGACACCTCAATACCACTAGGAACCAATACTTTAAATGTTCATTTCTCCAGCTAAATTTTGTAATTAATTATTGCGCAGATGTACGGTGGAATGCGCGGTATCAAGGGCTTGATCTGCGAAACCTCGGTGCTGGATGCTGATGAAGGTATCAGGTTCCGTGGTTTATCTATTCCCGAGTGCCAGAAGCAATTGCCAAAAGCCAAGGGCGGTGATGAACCACTACCTGAGGGTCTGTTCTGGCTCCTCATGACCGGTGAAGTCCCAACCGATGCCCAGGTGGCTGCTATCTCCAAGGAATGGGCGCAAAGGTAACATTCTCTCTCTAAACACTCTTTTTCTTCTTTCTTTCTTGTTATACTAGCTGTGTAAGCGCATAGAAAAGTTATTTCGGGCATCCAAATTTGTTTGTGGAAATCTCTTCCTCTCTGTAAATTTAAGCTAAAACCCACGACGTCGATCGCGACTCGTCGTTCTAGCAAGTTAAGATTAAAAGGTAAACATATAATGTCGCGGATCATCTATCTATCAGTATCTTGCACTGTTTTCGTAGTGTACGCATGGGAAACTCTCAAAGATGAATATTCATTTCCCCGTTTTTTCACATTACCTGCTGTTTCTTCGCTCCTATTGGTCACAGCACGATGTTTTTAAGCCTATAACCTTCCTCTAACCAACACAAAAAGATTGTTTAATACGAAATGGTAATTCCTGAGATTAGTGCCTTCAAACAAACAAAATCTTCAGCTTTATATGATTATAGATGCGACGATTTCAGGTATCTAGAGATGAATGTTTTATAATTTTTTTATAGAGCGGAATTACCAGCTCACGTCGTAACAATGCTGAACAACATGCCGAGCAAGCTGCACCCCATGTCGCAGTTCTCAGCTGCCGTTACTGCTCTTAACAGCGAGTCCAAGTTCGCGCAGGCGTACTCTGAAGGTGTCCATAAGTCCAAGTACTGGGAGGTTTGTATTTTTACCTTAAACTAGGGCGGAGCTACAGAAAACACCTTATTATATGTACGTTTGTAAGTGGTATTCTACTATAATATACTTATATTATTATCTTGGCCACATTACTGTGTCCGTTTCACTGATCGCTCCTTTTTACCTGTCTAAACGTGTCTGAAATCTAAACTTTAGATTAAACCTTTATGCCCTGTCCAGTCGAAACATTAATTTTTATCCTGGAGATTTCTGACCTGGGGTTCTGCCTTTACGCTTAACGCAGTATATAGTACTGTGCTTCACCGTTTAGCGACTGACGCCAAACTTGAATTGTAATTTAAAGAAAATGACATTTTAATAAGAAACCAGGAAAAACCTTTTCTATGGGGCTTGTAGTAGCAAATTATAGTAGATCTATATTCGCAGTACGTTTACGAAGACGCGATGAACCTGATCGCCAAGCTGCCAGTTATCGCAGCGACGATCTACCGCAACGTGTACCGCGATGGGAAGGGAATCGGCGCGATCGACGAGAACAAGGACTGGTCAGCCAACTACTGCACCATGCTCGGATTCGACGACCCTCAATTCACCGAGCTGATGCGTCTCTACTTGACCATTCACAGGTAAGTTTGACTCGACTATTTTCTATTCGCCGAAACGAGTTGTCTAATAAACTAGCAAAATGATATGAAGTTCATCTAAGTCCGAGTCGAATCGCGCAAATTTCATATTGTAATTTTTCAGTTATTTCACGTCCTTATATTATTTATATACGTAAATAAAGAATAGAAATTTCATTTTTTTCTGACGGGTTTAGTCTCTCGTTATTGCTGCAACAGAAACGTAAATTCGGTTAACTTTTTAGTCTCTACCGCATATAATAACGCCTGGTGAGAGACAGCAAAGAGACACTAAATATTTTTACTTAGCCTTAAAACTGAATAGTTGATTGTTAATAAGAGATAAATTTATGAACTCGTTTTGGTGAATATTAAACTTTTAACCTCATTGCACTGTATTACAAACACAGTAGTTACAACACTTCCTTAATTTATCACTATCTTTGTTTGTGACGTGAAAGAGCAAAAAAACATCTAAAGATACATCCTTTGAAACATTCGTACGTATTAGTATAATAGATGGTGGACATAAAAATTGCATATAGAGAACTTAGTAAAAAAACACGTTTGTAAAAAACTGTTCGATTTTCAAATTCCGTATTTAATTACATTACGAGAACAAACTAGGATAAAAATGTCGCTGTAATTCAAGCTATTACCATCGTTCGTAGAAAACATCAAGTAAAAACAATTTGATGAGAAAAATGTAAGTCCAAATATTGTTTTTGTTCGCTAGAAGTTGATCTCTCACGTTACTAGTTACATATAATACCGAGAAAGACAGCTAATAAATTGTAACACGAAGTGATAATCGGGTGTCGCAATACAATAGTCGTAATTCCCTTTGGGAATAGTGAAACAACTGACTTATCATGTCTGGCTGCATACAGACAACATAATTGACAAAGTTATTATTTATTTCCAGTTAAATATATATTTTTTTATAAAAAATAAAATTAAAATATATTTAACTGAAATCAAAAATTAAGAAGTAAACTAGAATTAACTATTGGTTAATAAAGGCAAAAATAAGCGAATACAAATTTGAAATATTAAAAAAATTACGGCAAAGCCAGTGGCCAAAGCTAGTTAATCTGCTAGCCTTGCTTATCATCGTATTTTGCACCTATGCTAATTTCGTTACTAAATATTTCGTTAGGTCATCGACCATTCCAATGTCATATCAATATGTACATTATTTTGACAATTGCTTTCGCCTAACCTAGACCTCTTTGCTCCACTCTTGAACAACTGTTTAATCAAATACGACAAAAAAAAAAATTACGAACAAAACCTGATAGAACTGTCTATTTTTTAAACTAGGATTTGACATGAAGACAGTTGTTTTGATCTTATTTTTCATCTCTCAGCGTTCATATGTACATATCTTTATTTGTACAGTCATTACCATCGCATGTCCATGGTAATTTGTTGATTTCTAGTCGCTTCGCGTTTGTCCTACTGGCCTTGCAACAAATGACAGTGTCGACGAGAAATTATGACTACTAGCTTTATGATGCAAATCATTTAAAATTGATATGAGTCCTGTATCTGCTAGACAGAGTATGGAGTTCATACTTTTTCGGCTTAGGATCGATAAAATGTCCTCAAAAAGCCTCAAATATCTTTTTCGTTGCTTTTTATCTATTTTGTTTGGTTATGCTTACACAAATGTTTTTACCACAAAGGAGGAGGTGATGTTATCCTAACAATGCAATATCTTTTAGTACTTAATATGAGTCTTATAGACTAAGTATATATTTTGTTGTGACTATAATTTGGGAATGTTGTGTAATTTCACCCTAAACTGGACCCTATCTAAAAAAAATAATACTATATATTTTCTGCTATGTCTTTTTCCCCAGTTATTTACACTAATTTCTAATCCATAGTAGCTGGCGTGAATGCGATGCGTTGTGTTGCGAAATTATATAATGCTTGAACTTCTACATGTGTACCTACAATTTGTTCGTATTACTTTGGCACCAGTCCAAATATTCGATCTCTCGAGCGGTGAAGAAGTTATTTTTAATGCACCTTATCGTTATCAAAATATTTTACCTTGAAACCGTCTGATATAGATTATGTAAAATGAACTACGCACGACTTGTGCTGGAAAATTATTTACAAATCTTTACGTATAATCTCTTTAACGAACCATATAATATTATATGTTTATTTTATATATTATTCAAACTGTTAACTGCTGGCGCTCAATGTAAAATGTACCATTACTTTTTTATCTTGCCCTATTTATAATAATAAACTATTACACTTATAATAATGGCATGACATGATAATGAAAAACAAGTTGCATAACCATATGTTTTTTGTTGTCCTTGTGCAAAGTCAGTTTTATATATATCTGTGTTTTCACATACATCGTATCAAAGTTGGAGATCTAGGGCTTAAACGTCAACTAACGTTCTTTAACCAGAACCTCCTGGCTTAGTTAAAAATGGCGAATATCAAACGTTCACAGTGTAAAATGAATCGTTTAAAAAAAAGGTCCCGGTGTACTTATCTGTGACATTAGCCATTAACAAATAGGTCATCAAATGAAATGTCAAAACGTATCTGAAATTGTCAACTTCGGATGTCATACGTCACTCCAACGCGTAAATGTCAAACCAACGTAACAGATTATACTTATACAATTACTGCAGGTCTTAGATCATTTAGGTACATAATCTGAGTTTCACGTATGTGTAATTAAAATAAATTCACAAGACATATGACTTATCAATAATTATCAATGAGCAATTAAAATATTTAACATATTAGACATTTCCTCGCACATATAATGCGTTTGGTATTGCTTATTGCACATTGTGATATTCTTAATGTATTGTAGAATTTTCCACCGTTATTCTTATTGTTTATTTCCAGATTATTATAGACTTAATGTTAAATTATTATTTTTCTGTTTAAAACACTGGTTAAACTAAAACTCACAGTATTGTATCTCATTGGTACACTTTTGTGTCACGAGTTAGGTATGAATGTTTTTTACTCTTTCACGTCTATACTGCTTCCCTTTGATTGAACCTTGATAAGTTTATAAATTGTCTTTTCTAAATTAATTTATTAAACACCTCTTTTGTTTGCAGTGATCATGAAGGTGGAAATGTGTCCGCTCACACAACTCACTTGGTGGGTTCTGCCCTCAGTGACCCCTACCTGTCGTTTTCAGCTGGTCTAAATGGCCTTGCTGGACCACTCCACGGTCTGGCTAACCAGGAGGTAAGATCTTGAATATAATAATAAAAAAAATCTGTCATTATTTTTTTATTTCTATCAGGAAGAATAATATATATTTTTTCCAGGTGCTTATCTGGCTAGAGAAACTCCGCAAGCAAGTGGGTGACAACTTCACTGAGGAAAGCCTCAAGGAGTTCATTTGGAAGACATTGAAGTCTGGCCAGGTGGTGCCAGGTTATGGACACGCTGTTCTTAGGAAGACTGACCCCAGGTAAGACGACGCCACTACACAGACAGTTTAGCCACAATACGTTTTATAGTGCATAAATAACCCTAAGGTTTTAAGTTAGACAAGCATGAGGTTCACAAGACAAAAGAAGTCCGAAATAATAGAAAAATATTTGTGATCGAACCCCCTAACCATTGATTCTTGATGACCGTTGATTGTGAGCCATACAGTGCTACCATTACAGTTAGTACACTTAAATTCGATATTACATATGTATGTATATTATCTCTTTCAGATACACTTGCCAGCGTGAGTTCGCCCTTAAGCACCTGCCAAACGACCCTCTCTTCAAGCTCGTCGCAGCCGTTTACAAAGTGGTCCCACCAATCCTAACTGAGCTCGGCAAAGTCAAGAACCCATGGCCCAATGTAGACTCGCACTCCGGTGTATTGCTACAGGTAAGAACATATTATAAAGAAAAAATATATTGTATTTTTTTGTTTTTGCGTTCACACACCTCTATTGATTGTCATCTACCTCTAGCTAACTATTTCCAGTTGTGTACTTAATAGAACTACCATGTCCTATTTTAAGAGACCCTTAAAATAGGACATGCTTTTCTGCCATTGTACAATCATTTTCTACCAAGCTAAAGTGTAATTTTTAATTATAATGTATGTTCCCATAGTGTCCGGAAGGTAAAATAGGAAACGCCGCATTGTTTTTTCAATGTTTCTTCGTTAATATCACAACTATAACTTTCTTATTACTCTGAATTTGATAAAGCACTTTTACCATAAAACTTTTATTTTCTATAAACTAATGACGTCATCGTTTCTTTCAGTATTATGGTCTCAAAGAGATGAATTACTACACCGTTATGTTCGGCGTGTCCCGTGCTCTGGGTGTGCTCGCTCAGCTTGTCTGGTCTCGTGCCCTCGGATTCCCCATCGAAAGGCCAAAATCCTTCAGCACCGACGCACTCATCAAACAGCTGGGCAAATAAACACTTGTTATACAATAGCCACACTTGAGCCGTGTCTCGTTACATTTTAATTTTATCAAATTCGCATTTTATAGTCGAAACATGACGTCACGCCACAAGTTATTTTCACTCTTGCTTTGTGACGTCATATTTTTATTGATTTTAATGGGATTTTACAGTCAAGCAACTCGTGACGTCACTGGTAAAGTAATATTGTTGTGTTACTTTATCAATTGACTTTTTAATCGCAATCCTAAAGACGAGAAACGTCCTCTGTGACGTCACGTATAACTTTTCTGCTGCTGGCTATGACAGTGTTCTGCTGTTATATAGCGTTCATTTGAAAAAGTTTTAATAAATTTTATAGAACAGTAGAACTTATAAAAGGGCCTAAAGGCTTAACGAGACACGGCGTAGATCGTCGTTTCACGTAGACCCCGATATCGTGTAGCCACTGCCAAACGAATAAATGTCGGGTTTAGGGGTGGTTTTAATACGCCATTTTGATACCGATTTACGTAAGACCCAGATGGCGCTGTTAAAGCAATCCTCTAGTTTAAAAGCTCGTTTGCCGTTCGCGAACGATTGTAGTTTTTAAGTAATAGTAGCTCGTTCATTCACTCGGTTACACCACACTATCCCTTTTTCATTTGCGATTTTATTTTCATTTTAGCTTATAAGGGTAAATGCAAAATTATGTACTATGTATTTTCGATTTGTCATTTTTAATCTTTTTTTTTAATGTACTTACGTCTGTGATTGTTTTTTAGATTATCTTTATGGTTTGACCATAGTGTGGTGTGATATAATCATGGGTTTAGCGGTAGGGTTGGAATCGTATGCATGTGTTGATTTGGACCACGATGATTTGAAAATCGAACAGCTACTGTAGAAAACTTCTATCTTCTCTTCTTGTCTATTTCCTTATCTTTCCGATGCTCGATTTGCAAAAGAACGTGTCACAGATCGCTATACAGCATACTCAGTATTTATTAATATCATTGTACTTAGTTTCTGAACGCGTTTAAAATTTTATATGCGCATGCGCCCATACGCATATAACATTTTAATTTAATTATTCAACTTCGACGCTTGTAGACTAATTTATTTCAAGTTACCAAAGTATTGTTTATTTATTGTACAATTGATTTATGCGTGTTGATTGAATTTTTTTTAATTCGTTTTAAAATCACTTTTCATTCAATAGTTTAATCGAAGTGAAATGTAATTAGTTGGATTTATCCTCTGTAGTGGGATTGCGGTCGATGGTTAATACTTGTTGGCTTCTAATTGACAATACAATAAATTTTAGAAACATTAGGCGTGTTTCTCTTTTGCCCACATAAAGTCATACGATTCGCGTCTTCGAGTAAGCGAAAAGTAAGCGCGAGTTACGCGCAACATTTGTTGATGGCCAACTCTTGATAGCGAAACGTCGAAAACCTATTTTCAATGACGTCGACGGAACAGATAAAAGATGTATAGTTTATGAGCTATTTTTCAAAATGGCCACAAAAGCTATAATTACCAGATTACATATGAAATGTAACCATTACCTATAACACCTGCAATATAGTGTGTAATGACTTAACAGACGAGGATGCGGATTCGAAGCCCTGGAGCAATACTGAATCGTATTGTTCGAGGATCATTGATGTGTAGGGGTTTGGTTCAATGCCTAGTAAACTTAATCCTGTGTTCTAAGGCAGATTCACTTCTTGTATGAAAAAGGCGATAAGAGTAACAGGCACAGAAATATGTCTGTCTCATTTTCAGTTTAACATTGTGATTAGTATAAAACTATACTAAAAACCAAATTTTTTTATACGATCTATATTTTATAGATATTTTGGCCTCCGCATCCGTAAATCTAATGATTTTATTTTTCTTTCATAATGTATAGATAACTGTTCTTTTCTAGGCTGTTTAGTGGCTGTCAAGTCGTCAGGTGTTCGGAGAAACTAGACTTGTAGCTATAAAGAACAAATCCTTAAAAAATAAAGTTTTGATTAGGAGTGGAACAAGTGAAAAATATACAACAAAACCCCCCCAAATTTGGGAAGCTCTTTAACCCCGTCAAAAGCACCAGCGGCGGAAACTTTGCTAGCTGGCGATTAGCAGTTACATTTCCTGAAGACAAAATAAATACACTTTATAACTATTACGCTTTATTTAACAACCACCATAAGCAAAGGTATAACAGGTCACACGAATTTTGTTTACATACAAACATTTTAACGGTTTCAAAACGCGCTGTATATCAGTTACAAGTTTTTAATTGTCACCCGTTGTTTCGGATGCATCGCAGTAGCCATGACGGCGTTGCAAATAAATTATTTAAACGTCGCGTTTTAAACGGTTATAATTGTTATTTATTGTGTACAGACTAATAGAATACTCAACACCAGTTTATTTCACCATTCGCGCTGTCAATAAGAACTTTAGAAATTCTTTTTATAAATTTAATGCCCATAATAAAAGCACTTAAAATTAAAATAATTTTTGCACCGTCGAAAATCGAACCTCCTATCAATAGCGTAAGTCTCACTCGTATGTTTTAAAATCGTGCTTCAAATTACCCAAGCTCTTATGTGCGTAATTATAAAAAAACCAAGAGAAGTCTTGTTCTATAATTAACAAAACCATTATAAAAAAAAATTGACATATTTATTGTTATATTAGTAACAAAAACGTAATTTAGATATAATTTAGACCATATCTGGTGTCACAAGTCATAATCAATATGATTAATAAAAACTCCAATAACAATGGAAGATATAATAAAATAAATTCTGAATCTATCGAATTCTATATAGTAGTTTAGTGCTTTTGAGGCTTCCAATAAAATAAAAAGCCTACCTCACAATTTAATATAACTTAACTAGAATAAAAGTATATCTTTTGTCCCGTCCACATTCTTAACAAAACGAATGTTAGAATTTGTTACTTTCACTATTATTTTATAAACAAATCTACAATAACATGCATTGTTATTTGTTTGGCCGTTTTTATCTTTGAACCATTTTCTCATTAATTCAGCTAAACACATTATCACTAAATACAAGAAGTTTGTTAAAGGCATAACTATATAGTTCTTGTGTATGAAACAATAGATTTCTTTGTACGCCTTCCTTCCTACACTGAGAGGCTTATAATTAAAATCTTATTTATCAAAAACGGCTGGTCCCAATAGAGGCAAGCGCTTGACTACTGGTTCTCCATAGCTGAGTAAATCTTTGACCGGTGCCAACCACTTAGCCAAAAGTGAGAAGATGAAAAGCCAAAACATGATTTTCACAATCCAATCCAAAACGTAAAGGCTGAAAAAGGAAGATTTTTTAATAGGGCAATACTATACGATACCATACTTTTTCTTTACCGACCGACTATGTAGCTAAAAGGTTAAACGTGTTGCCTAGTATTGCTCTAATAACGAACATTAATACGCAAGTGTTAAGGTTGAAATTACATGGCGCGAGAGGTGCATGTATCAATAAGTTGAAAAAAATCGACGATGAGGTGTAGGACTCGGTAGCTCAATTGGTAGAGCAACAGCACGGAACGCTGACGATGCCGGTTCATGTCCTGCCCGAGTCGAAAATTTTTATTTATTTTCGATTTTTAAACAATAAATTGTTTCAGTCTGACAGGGCACAGAAGTCTGATCAGCTACTTGCTTTTAAATAATAGCAGTCAGTGAAACGGACACAGAAATGTGTTCGCCCCATGCTCCACAAGAGTTAACGGGATTCAAATACTTTTATTATATAAATATCAAATTCGTCGAAGTTCGAACTTTGTGTGTTTTTAATACATACAAGTTATGATGAAGTCTGTTAATACGTATTTTGGCCGGGTCTTCTTTTAGGCAGTAAATTCTACCGCCTTCGATACAACTATTAATGTATTCCCCCTTGTCGACGTCAGTTAGATCTGTGTTGTATGTTTGTCTGTCTTCTGGCTGTAGTTTTGTGAGGATGCTTTCAAAGTTTGGACACGGAAAGTTCCAGGGTCTCATGGTGAAGTACTGCAACACTTCAAGGCCTTGGCTTATTTTTTCTTGTACTCGAAGCATGCTGAAAAATACATTAAGGAATCATTTGAAGTTTAAGTCTGTAAGGAGAGCCGACGTATGTATAAAAACATAATATATTTATTTGTTCAACCCTCACAACTAATAAAATGCGCATTTTTATTATCATACATTTATTTGACTGCTTATAAGTGGGTTTGTTTGTTGATGGTATGGTATAAGCAGGTATATACCCGTCATGATTTTTTTTTATAAAACCTTAACACTTTATGTGTTCATACTTACAATCTCTTCTGCCCCATAATAAGAAGCAAAAAGTCTATACAATAAGCTGGTAGGAGATGGTAGAAAATTCTCTTGAACTCGTGTAACGGGTAGTTCGTGGTGATGTCCCCGTTTGGGTACCAAAGTGGCCAAGACAAGGGAAACTTTCTCCCGTACTCCTTTCCTATTCTTAGTACATCACCCCATGTTGTCGGTTTTTGATGACCGCTGTTTATGTTGTATATTGGTATCACTTCTGGCCTGAAGTCGACAGACGGATAAAAGTAATTCAAATCTATATTAATGTTATAAAGATGAAATTTTTCAATAATATTTGGTCCATGTGTAAGATACAGATTATATAAAAGACTTTCTTGTGGATTACCAAAGCTACAGACTATATAAAATTTAAAATCCATGCTTACTTCTCCTTTCTCGATCCTTCAATCATCCCTATAGCTATAATGGCGTTGATAGCAGTATCAACAGGAATTACTTGAGCAAAATAACTGCCGTCACATAACATGCTTCTTATCACACCCTTTCCAGCACCAATCATCAGACCCACAGGGCCATTGAGGTTATCCACCCATCCAGGCACCGGTTCGGTCCACGCTGGACAAACTAAAAATTAAGAATGGTTACATTGTAAGATAATTTTTGATATCAAGTTAAAAACTAATTCAAAATCCTTGAAATACTGTCTGTTTACGAGGGTAGCACACTTTAAAGAAGAAAAAACACTTTAACGGTTTAAAACGCGAAATTATTGCGTTAACATAGTTTGCAAATTATTTTTAACTACGGTCCGACGTTTTGGATGCTTTGCAGCACCGGTGGTCATGGAGAAAGATGGATGGTGTTCCAAACAGTTATGGAACCCATGTCACGCTATGATTGCACTAGTCGCGAGAAGTCTTGAGTTCGAATCCCCGAAAAATAATAACTTTCAGTCGTGTAGGGTATTAGAAGTTTGATCGACAACTGTAAGTAAAATTATTTACAGTTGTCGATCAAGCTTCGACTTCGCTGAAACGATAGAAATTTATAAAAAACTTTAAAACGAGCCCATTAGCTCACTCAGTCAGTCTTCGAACGCAGATCGCCTTTAGTTGACAATAAAATTGCTTCTGTCGTTATGTCATAAATCCAAGAAAGCGTAAATAATACGCAAAACAGCTAAGCTTTTCAAGGAATGTCCATGTTAAGTGCTCATTCGTATTTTACAATGAAACCGCGATGTCTTTATGCTCCCTGTTGAACTATGAAGGTAAACTTTATTGATGCGGTTACCGCCACTTTGTTGTAAACCTTACATTGCCAACATTTTAATTGAACTTTCACAACATGGTCTGGGTTCGACTCCCGGGCAAGTTGCTTCGGGAAAACAGGAATTAATGAAATTCTATTATCTGACAACTATCAGTGTGTAGGCAGATCAACAAATTATAGGGTAGTAAATAAATTAAATTCTAGGGTTGACGACCTTGTTTGACAGCAGATTAAGAAAACTTGGGCCTCGGGCGCACATTTATAGAATGATAGCACCAGTCGGGAAAACGCAAGTAAAAGGTTTTAAACGCGAAATATATTACTTTCAGATGGTCTTCCATGACATGATACAAAGCATCCGACGCCGGGTCGTTGTTAAAGTAAATTAAAAATAATTCAACTTTTCTATTTCACGTTATAAACCGTTAAAACTGTTTTACTATATTTACATGCTTCTCGCTTAAATTACTGAAATGCATGTTAAACCGACTGTACCTTTTATTATTAATTTAGTAGGATAACTCGTTACATCCAGACCAATGGCTTAGCGTAGCTTCATCTCTTACCTTCTCACTTTATTTTGATAACTTCTCTGCCCTGTTCAACCGAAACATCTTTCTCTAAGGATAAATCATTCTTAAACTTACCTATACTAGGCCGAGCAATAACAACAGGCATGGAATCGAACGCATCAGACACTAACGACTCAGCCAATCTCTTCGAGTATGTATAGCAGTTGGGGTGAGCACCCAGTAGAGATGGAGTCAGTAGCGACAATTGCTTGTCATCTAGCCATTCAATGAGTCGCATAACATCCGCTGGTATTACTGTTGGTGCGTGAATCTGTAAGTAATGTATTCTTTTTTGCTTGTCTTGACATTAACTAACATAGGACACTACGCTAAAATTATTAAGTAACCCATGCTACCATTTCATTCGGTCAGGCAGGACACAGACAATGATCAAAAACTTTCCTGTAAATAAAATCCACCAGTGAAACGGACACAGAAATGTGGTCGCTACATTTTCCGTAAGGAGAGACGGAATTACACTTTTTATTACACAATTTAATATCTTTAATTGCTATATTGGTACAATTGTGTAAAGAAAAAATTAAGTATTATATATTAAACCGATAATGATTCACTCACACACACTCACTCGTTCACAACCTTCCGCACACATTCAAAAATACATCCCTATTATCCCTTTTTTAGTAAAAATTAAATAAGTTTTATTGTATAAAAATTAAAGTAACTATTTATGCGGGGGGTCCTGTGACACTGCTGCTTGGCTACTTCAGGCGTAAACGAAAAATTCAATTTTTAAATAAGTTTTAAGCAAATACAAATTTTTAAATTTAATCTAAAGGAAATGTTTTTAATATATTCAATATTCATCCTGATTCCATAGGATTTCCTTAGGTCTCACCTTTTCCGCCAGAACTTTATAATCAGGATAACAGAAGGCGGTAGAAAGATGTATCAAGGCTTCTAACTTCTTCAACCGTTTGGCCACGTTTAACGTCCTTTGTGTGCCACACGTGTTCATATTAATGCTGTCTTTCAGCGGAGCTTCCAATCTAAGAGTCGCAGCGAAGTGGAATACGAGGTATATTTCTTCTGATAGTCGTTCTATATCGACATCTGACAGTCCGAAGTTTTCGAAGAGCACGTCACCTTGAAGGACTTTGATCTTTTTGAAACTTGATGGTCTTTCGTTCCGAGTTCGGTCGAAGAGCTATCGAAAGAAAAAGCTATATTATGTTGAGAACCATTTATGGCAGAAGGCAGTAAGGTATTTTTGTATGTATTACTACCATTATTCCGCTCCGTTGAAAGCATTACTATTGTAATATGAACATCATTACTTGTTTGTTATGGATCGTATTATTTATTAAAATAAAATCTCAATTTTGTATAACTACATACTTCGAAAACAAGGATAACTTTAGCTATTATTTAACGAGATAAGAACTGAAAGTAAAATGAGATATAAATAAAATCATTGGATTATCGTGTCGCCTTAAAAAAAATTAATACCATTTTTATATTATACGAACCCGGGCAAAAAACCTAATCTCTATGTAAGAACTGCTATAGTGGTATTGATCTCCTATATGAGAATAAGACTTACCGGTAACCGCTGCATTTCCTCCAACCTTTGGTTCACCGATTTCCCCCTCTTTGGCCGCATAAGGACATAGATGGTGCCAATGTCTGGTACGCTGTATAGAAGCTTCTCGATCAAGACTTTTCCCATGAACCCCGTGCCTCCAGTAAGAAGGACATTTTTTCCCTTGTAGTAGTCGTTAACTGATATTCCGGCTGACATATCTGTAAAGAAATATAAATAAGATAAGATCAAGAGGTCACTCTGACATAGAAATATGTCACTTCTGGGCAACTGCCTCCTTTACACGAGCGAGAGTTTTAAGACCTTTTGGTTCCATGAAACTGTTCCAGGTTTATTGTCCTCTATTACCAGGTACGACAATAACTGACATTTTAATAGAGTACATACACATCAACGACTCTCTCATTCCTCATTCCTAACTTATTAATATAATTATAAAGACACACATCGAATTTTAGAAACTCTCATTATTGTAAGCTTAAGAGCAAACAGAGAAATAATACATCAGTAATTATCACCTCAGCGCCACAAAGCACACCAATGTGTATATTCGTGGCGCTGAGATGTTTGTGAATAGAGCTTTATAATAGCCTATATAATGGAAAGTAAAATAAGAAAACCAGTCCAAATCTTCGAATCTATAAAATGATGTCGTACAACAAATTACAAAACGGTACTTTATGTGCGGTAACGAAATAAGAATGGAAAACTGGATTGACATACCCACCCAAGAGCCTAAGGCCTCAGCAAACAGTTTCGTATGCACCAATGAATAGAATTTCAATATATAAATATTGTTTATTTTACAATTTGAAACTAGTTAAAACGTGAACTGTTTGAAAAATTTAATGAAGTATTTAATATTTTTTAAACTAAGACCAATTTTTTAAATTATATAACGTTTATAAACTGCACTAGTTTAATTTTAACTACGACCCTACTTTTCTTTTTGTCTTTTATAGTTATTTTATTATTATTTATTCGATACATTTTATATTACTAACCAACATTTTTATATGCTTATTTTGACCGACCGGTATAACATTCAGATTATTGAACTGAATACGCAATGTTTTTAAATATCTATTATTAAACTGTAATGAGGACTCCTAAACATTTTAACGCGGTTATAATATCGTGCGGAACGCATAGATTATTAGCTAGTTTGATAAAACCTTAAATGCGTAAGTTGAGCGACTTTGTTTAAGCACGTAGGCAGGCACGTTTTCTCTGTGATAAAATTTTGGTGCAAGCATGCTTTGCTATTTTTAAACTCCATTTATAGACCACAGGTCATAGACGAAACATAGGATAAAATAAAACTATAGATAAATGCAATTCTATGCTTATTATGCCCAAATTGCTTGACTGATTTTGATACAACCTGTAATAACTAATCCTCTAATATCCTGTAACAACTAAAAATATTCCGAGATGGATTCATGGATGGATCCATTTTTATAAGAATTTTTAAATTCGGAAATAAAAGTGATAAAAGGTAACGTTAATCTTGTCATTATTTTAGAATAGCCCCCCTAATGTGTTGCTCAATACTTTAAACTAAGAAATACGAACTGTTAACCTCATTTTTAAAGTGCGTACGTTTATGAATATCAATTAACTTCGCATGAATGTTTCGAAGTTTTTAAGAGGCAATACACAACACTAAAACAGGAAAAATGCTTTAGGCTTTAGCTTTTCAAATACTGAAATATGTTTGTTTTTATTATGAACTTTGATGAACAATGTTACATACGCAGCAGTGCAACAAATTGATTTTTGACACTGATCGAACATTTTACATAAAAATTGCTACCACTTGTTGATAACTGTAATTACTTGCTTCTAATACTGATAAAGTAATGTTTTTAATAAGGCTCTGCCACAAAAACTGCACGGCATGCAACCTTCGTTGTACATAATTACAATAACATCGGCATTAAGATATAGCTTTTTATTTATAACACACGTGGTTTAAGAGGGCGGAAGTTATTAAGTACATAATTTAATCACAAATCCTTAGTGATGAACTAAAATTATATAACATGTTTCAAATATGACACGCCGTGTGATTTATTCATGATTTTTTTATTGCGTCTCTTGTTTTTCAGCGTTAATTATTCAAGGAAGCAGAACCTATGTCTAGTTATGAGTTAATTACTTGATAGATATCATCTGTCAACTAGGCAAGTTCAAGGACAAGTTACTTGACAATTTGTTTCTATTTATAAAACCTTAACACGATTTGTGAGCATATGACTACTGACTAATTTATCTTTCTCAGATAGCGTCGCCTTGTTTTGCGTTAGGAGCCAAAGAACCTGGGTTTGAATCCAGGAGAAACCGACATTTTGTTGCCAGCACATACAAGTCTGATCACCTACGTCTATACAAAAATATATGTACAAGGGCAATAATGTATAATGTGTAAATACTAAATACCATTGCTTCATACAGTGAAATGGACTTCGCTTTTTAAGCGGATTGACTACGCCTTGGACCCTAAAAACACTGCGTTCAAAAAGATTTTGCATTAATTAACCTGAAATGAGACTATAGTCGGCAAAAAGTTGCTGTTGTTTTGCAGTCAAATTGCCTCATAATTTTGACTTTTGTATTTTAATTACTCGTAAAATGTACGCTCAATAATTTTAGAGCTTAACTAATGGTTATATTAACCCAAGTCTGATGAAAACTGCAAAATTATGATACCACCTAAATTAGTTATGATGCCTGAAATCTGATCGCGACGGAGTTCTGTGCCTCATTCTTCTCTAATATTAGGGGGGGGGGTCTTTTATATTAGTAAAGAGGGGTTTTAGACTTATTTATTTTTGAAAATTATATAATTGATCAGGGAGCCGAAAGTTATATATAGTCAGTGACATCAACAGCAAAAAGTTAAGTAATTCCTTTATTGTTTGCTGTACAATGTCAATAAAGAACTGCTAATAAATGCAAAACGTTCATAAGTGTTAATATAGTTATCTATATGAGAAATGATTTTTGATTTGATAGTGTCCGAGTGAAAACGAAGCCGAATAATCGGTTTCAGAGTCAACTCTCGCCCGGAGCCGAAGAAAGTAGAATTCTTTGATCGACTTCTAATGTAGTTATAATAAATATGACGGCGGCAATTATGTGTACGAATCAAACTAAAAAAATAAATGTAAGAATTGACTCAATATTACAAATACATATTGGTGAAATATTATTTAGTTTTTACCCCTTATTGCCCTCCTGCTGGGACCTGGTTTAACCGGTGTGCTATTAAATAAAGATAGCCGGGACCGAGGATTTAAAATCAGGAGGTTTATAAAACCTTCAAACTTTGAGCTGATACTAGTTATGTTAGATTTTGGACAAATAACAAACTGACATTTCGATTCGTACTCTGAACTCTGATTTACCGTCAATGTACTAACCACTGGACCAAAGGCGCAGTTTTAGAGAGCCATAACGGTATTATGAATTAGTAAGTACCCGGCTTGTAAGCGAAACGTTTTATAAGAATTTAAAGCAGTGCAACAAATTGGCCGCTTAGTGTGGAATGGAAAATTTTGCCGAATCCGTTCACTCCAATGCAAGAATCGTAAGTCGAACACTTGCATCATGTATTTTTAACTTTTGACTTGGCAATTACATTTATAATACATTAGTTCTTTGAATACGATAACAAAAAAGAAAAACAATAAAATATAAAAATGGTATATGTGACAAAAAAGTTCTCAATTCGATTATTTTTTTGTGAAAAAGGTGTCCTTAAAATCAAGAAACGGTTACCTACGCTTCAGAACCAAAGCAGAAAGGAGACTTTAAAATATACTATTAAATGAGTACAAAATAAACTAAAACTAAATGTTATGCTATGTTGCTCTATATTCCGAAAATTAACACATAGTAAAAACTACTGACGTTGCAACCACTTGCAAAAAATTCGTATGCATTTTATTTCAATGATTTCATTTTATCTCACTGAAGTAAACTCATACTAAAAGTAATTCTAAAACATTTTTTTCATGATTTTTAACATTTTAATCTTTAAACTTAATTTAACAATTTAAATTCTGCTATATTTACTTAGTGATTGTTTTTTAAAGGTTATTATTATACTCGTATGTTACTTATTATAGTATTTACACTTTGAAAGACTAAGTATGTGTATAATTGATTAATTATTTGTCGTTATAATTCGTTTACCTTTGATAATGAGTACTTTGAATTGTATTTATGTATCATAGGCACGTGAGAGTGTATTTATCAAGATGATTTAAATAGAGAGGTGAATTCATAGGTTAAAGGTATTTTCCACCAATCGTACTTCCTGATCATCCAGTATTAATACGATGAGCCGCACATGGAGGAACTCTGGCACCATAATTGTACTTGTGTACTTTCCCTTTAGCTTCAATAAAAGTAAACAATTTGCAAGAGTTAACGAAAATGTAGTAATGCATAAAATAAATATTTCAAAAGCAAGGCACAGAATAAATTGTGTAGGCACATATCAAACCCCGATAAGTCACACCCATCCCGAAACTGAACTATGAATGGCGCTAAATTTGAAATTAACTTGTTTTTATGATACTTTATTCCAAATCACGGTAAGTCCCCAAAAAACTCACTAAAACGAAGGTTAAAATCAACGATTTATTTCAAACTCCGGTATGTCTATAGATAAGTTAAAATCAAACTCAAGTAAGTCCACATTGACCAATCACAGCAAATTATAGCGTCCAAGATGGCTGTTAGTTAGAAGATTGCTGTGAGAACTTACACTTCGTTGTCGTCTATTTTATTAGATTGTTTGGGGAAAATGCATGATAACAATGTAAGAATTTGTGTGCTGAATCCTGAAAAAGCAAAGAAGATGTATGTGTCAAATGTTAAGAAGAATAATGTCGAAAAGAAGGCTAAAAAGTAAAGCAAATCCTAACGTAATAGTGCGTTTGTTGCAACCGTTAACGTTTTGAAACCCAGGGTTGTACAAATGTTAAGAAATAAACATGAGAATATATTTTTCTTTTTTTTCTATTAAAATGTATGTATGTGTGTGTATCATTTAAAAGGTTCTTTCCATTTTGAGATAAGTAAATATTGCAAATGTATCGTTACGCGTTCAAATGACAAAATTAAAGTAACTGGCGAAATTTCGTATAGAAACGATTTCGGAAATAGTGCTTCGTTATTAGAAAAAGGAAAAAGTATGATCAATATTCATACTCAAATGATTGACATAGTTCCTTCTATAAAATTAGAAGATATAAAAAAAATATTTCATAAACATTTTGGCACTGACTGGTATCACATCCCTCAGTTGAAATATTATACAAATATCTTGCAAAGTAACATAGAACTAGTTGGTGACAGGGAAGAAGACATAATAAATAATTCCGAAGACTATGT